AAAGCAATTCTTTCAGGTGTACAAAAACCTGATTAAGACATACGCACTTCACTCTTGCTGTGTAATTTTGTAAATGCTTCTTGAACTAAATCTGAACCTGAAAATTAATTCAGATTTTGCTATCAAAAACACCAGGGCACACTACTCTGCCTATTTAGGAGCTGATGCTGAGTTTTCAAATGCAAAATTTTTCAGGCAAACCCTTGGATTACTCAAGTCCTTACCAATATTTGAAATTTTAAAGATTCACTGTCACTAGGAAGTTCCTGCCTAGCATGTTCTGAATCATCTCTTTATATTTTCTAAAGTTCCACTAAATGAGCATTCTTTCTCCTTTCTACATGCAAATTTGTATCCCTGATGCTCTTCTCATCTTGTATTACATGAAGATTTCACATTAAAAAAATACCCTAAACCACCTTGTAACATCTGCATTGTCACACTGTGTTCCTGGGCGACAATCACATACTTGTGGCTGAGTTAAACCCTTGGCATTTATTCTTTTTCTTCTTCCCTCTGAGAAACTAGGTTATTATTGCTTCATAAAGTAGTGCCTGGATGGTATTACTAGCTAATTAATGTCTATTTAGTGGAAAGGGCTGCAGCCATCTTCCAGCACCTACAGGCGTTTTTTCTTCCTTTCCCTGACAAGACCAGATGGCATCTTGGCCAACCTTCACCCACCCTTCACAAGCCATGCACTTGATTCAGAAAATGCAGCCAGCAGCTTGGGAAACACATTACCATCACAGCTGGACAGATGCTAAAAAAGTGCTGGTTACTGCCCCGAATAGTGGGAAAATTAATGGCTTCAATTAAAATATGCAGATTAAACCTCTACCAAGATATAGTCACCTTTTCATCTCTGTATGCTGTTGGGGTTCTTATTTTATTGAATTTTCCAGCTCTCATCATATAACAGGGTGACAAACAGCTAAGAAGAGAAATACATGGCCAACAACAAACACAGCAGGCTGAGGTCTTCTGCATCTCACTGCACCATTTAATCAAAGGATGAACTCACTCACGTACAAATTACCTGTATCAGTGCAGTCAGACCAGAATATTTACCTTTTTTTCAAGATCAAGCACCTCTAGTCCTAGGAAGTTGTCCTCCCAATGTGGGTATTTTAAAATGCAGTGTTCACACTAATTGATGTTCCTACTAAACTACAATCTGCCCCAGCTCCTGGTTACTGCATCAAGACACTGTTCCATGTCCTGTCCAATCCTTCACAGATCAAAGAGGAACAAATAAGAAACAAACCATGAAATACTATTAATCAACAGCTACCTGAAAAAAATATGAAGTTCAGTTAATTGAAAACAAAAGCATAATTTTTCTCTCAGAAAGACCCCTGACTCAAAACCATTTTATTCACACTATGCTTTAACCAAACAAGCTTGTCATCAAAAGCAACACCTAACATTATAATCATTTTTAGATCACATATTCTGTTCTCTGCTTTCATTTACTGAAATAATGTAAGGGATCATTCAACTTTGAATTTTTAGCTACATTCCTCACTTGTCAGAAATAATTACTTAATCTTAAAGAAGTTTTATGTATGTGTGTGTGTGTGTGTGAATATATATATGTACATATGCACACACCTACATGTGTGTATATAGTGATGACAATACAATCTATACATCCTGAAACTATATAATAACCAGCTGTGGTCATATCCTGTTTAGGAGAAAAATGACCACTGAGAAACCACTCCCAGTGAGTCAACAATGGCACTTTCTCTCACACCAAGCCCCCTGTTACTTGTCCTTGGCTATAGGATAATACATTTTGAGCTGTACAATATTTCTGATTAGATAAAAAACACTGGATGCTGATGACTCTTATAAGATCCATGTCAGCTCTGTGTACAGGAGGAATTGACTCCTCTGTTCTCTGCCATATTCCTGTTTAGGAATTTTGCTGAAATCCTTTTCTCAAATTTTAATTGAAAAATAATTTCTGAAGGGGCAAATCACTGCAGAGAACCTGTAAGCAACTTCAGCTGCCAAAATATAATAGTGCTTTCTAAAGTACTTATTTTTTTCCTTTAATGTGCCATGTTAGAGAGATTTTTTTTAGATTTCTAAGCCAAACATCCAGAAGCTTAGAAATTTGGGATCTCAAAATTTTGGGATCATTCTGCAACCTTGTTGCACTCAAAAGTTATGACAACTTTTAGTCACACTGCCACTTTCTATTTTCTTCTACTGGACTTTTGCCTCCCATATATGCACTGCACAGCCTCAAGATTTATTTCTTCCACACTGCCAAAACTGTGCACAGAATGCAAAATGATTAATGTCCTGCTAAGCATCTCTGACAGTTCTCCCCATAGCATCCAGCTTTCTCATGACCATGAAATTCACCCTCACTGTGCTCCTTTAAGGTGAGGTTGCAATATTATCTGTATTCTGCAGCTGGAGAAGCAGGTACCAAGTTTCCATTCTTTTTAGTAATAGAACCTGAGGCAACAGAAATCCTATTTCTCAGTTTCCAGCCCTCCACACCCTTTCAAAATCTCCTTGTAGTGACCTCCCAGTAACCAAACCTACTTCACAGTGGACATGCACAGAATTAAGAGCCCATGGTTAATCGGCCACTCGTGAAAAGTTTGTTGTAAATCCTCACCATTCAGAATTTCTGTCACGGATGCTGAAAAGAGAAGCCAGTCCCACAGAGCATCATTCTTGTCTTGTCTTAAATTTAATAATACCTTGCTGCCTCCCCTGCAGTCCCCTGACTCATTTACCGTACACCTTCCACCTTGGTAGCAAGTGAGGCAGTGTCTAAACATATTTCAGAGCTTGCCCACCAGTGTAATAACCTGCAAAAACCCAGAATTCTGTATTCTGGAGAGAAACAGCCACAGACCCTTCCCCCATGCCCCTAGCCTGTTTCACTCATCACTTACCTATCTGTACCCCATGCCCTCCTCCTTTTCATTATTCCCATTCTGACTTGCCAGACACGCCTGGTTATCCTCTGTGTCCTGAACAGCTCCCCTCCTTTAACCCTATTCCCCAAGTCCTGCCTCTTGCAACCACTTTTCCTTGGTCCCTCATACACCTTCTCCTGACCATCTCCATCTGACCATGACTACTGCATCCATTTTTCCTTGCTGCTGGAGATCAGTTAATGAGCAGCACAGTCCCACTTCTCTCAGCCCTGTGGGCAGGTCAGCAACCTGAATTAAGCGCACAGTAGTGTAACTCCTCTGTGAGCATGTACAGACAGAAATTTTTGAAAGCAACGCTTTTGAACCTTAGGTGTCTCCAAAGTGCACAAACAACCCATCAGCAGGGCAAACTCAGGGGTAATTTTCAAGACAGTAAAAGGCATCTCACTGGTATTATGATGACATTTTACTAAATGTCAAGCTTCCAAAATTTCGTTCCAGTGAGGTTCATTCCACTACCAGCACCAATACATGTCAGGAAAGAACCACTAGATTTATTTATTTGAAAGAAGGTCATTTAAAGGAGTACATTTCCCACAAATCTTGTCCTCAGAAAAAAAAAAAAACTGGCTTTTTTGTTGAAGTTTTTACTAAAAGAAAAAGAATCAGTCATAGACTGAATCTTAGCATGAAAAATTTCAGCCAAAACAATTAAAGTTTAGAGAAATTGTAAAGAAAACAATTCCTCATAGTAGGCAGTGACAGGGACACTTTACTCTGAGCAAAGCTACCAGCTTACTTTGTACTTAATAAATCTACCAAATGTAATTGTTACAGCTAAGTAAACATTTCCAGTCATGCTGATGTAAACAAAATCATTCTTCTTATCAATAAGAAACTAGTCCACATGTTCTCACCATTTCTCCACACTGCCTAAAACTCTCTAAGCATCATTTTTCTCACAGCTTTTCCAGCTTCAGATTTTGGGCCCTGCCATTCCAGTCGATGGAAAAATGAACCTGAATTCACCATTCTTCTCTTTGCAAAGAATATCAAGAACTGATCCAGAATCCCTCAGGGAGAAAACCAGGCAATTTAATCCTGGCAGTGCTACCTTGATCACCATTTCTTGCCATGACACCTCCTCCTGACAGCAATTTCCAGTTAGCTGGAAAGTTTCTAGTTGGTAGCCTGATGGCTAGACAGCCTATCCCCACCCACACCTGTCCTGGAGCTGTAGGCTCTGCCTGCCCCGTACCTTGCAGCCCTCTCCCACACAACCTGACAGAAAAAAAATCTGAAAAAAAGGCCACATGCTCACTATTCCTAATTTTTCTGTACTAAGTTTAAAAACCTGCCCATAGGGTTGCTGATACTGTAAAACTAGAAACACAATTATACATTATATACTTGGGGGGTGAGGGGAATACAACTCCAAAACACAAATAACTTTCAAAGCCAACAACAGAGTTCTGACAGACATTTCCCATCTAATCTTTGGTAGTGATCTACTAATGGTTTTGAAAATCTAAAGTGAAATGACCAAAAAGTTGAGAACCACTTTTAATAGATAAAAAGTGATAAGTAGAATAAGAGATATTTTTTAATAGGTCTGAGCATAGTAGGTAGTGAGAAAGAAAACTACTGTTTTTCTATAGCCATCCTACATGATTCAAGATTATATAAAAAGCATTAGCTACATCTTTGACAATAAGCAGCAGTTCTGGAGGTTTCTGCTTTGTCACATTGCATCAGAGCTGCCTTGAGGGTGAATGCTTTGACCTTTCACCTAACCAGTTGCCAAGATTTTCTTAGCTGAAACTTCAGTCATCCAAAATAAGCTATTTTTTTTCAAAAACTTGGATTTAGATTAACTAACAGGGCAGTGTGCCACAGAGAATGAAACAAAGGCAAGAACAAAAAATAATGAACAATGAGGAAGAACAGAAGGGAGAAGCAAAAGAGAAGTAGGAAAAAGTATTTGTAATTTCAGCATGTTGGCACAATTCATTAAGCTTAAAGGAGACGTTAGGGATTGTCTGTGATGACAGGGACTGCATCATCAAGCAGAGAAATGCAGAGGACTCTTACTGCAGCATATGTGTCTGGCTGGCGTCCTTTTGTTTGTCAGGTACCTCGTAGTGGGGAGAAATCTTCCCAAGGCCGCTGTCGCTCAGCATCCTCTTCCGAACTGCAGGATTCCACCGATCCGATATTCTAAGGGAGAAGGAGGAAGAGAAAGGCATTCACACCCCTTGTGTGCTCCACTTGGAAGTGGTCTTATGCTCATTGGTTCCCTGCATTTTTCAGCAAGCTAAAATAGATTAATTCATTATCAGTACAATGCTGTTCCTAAGGATGAGTAGAAGCATTTCTGGTCTGTCAAGAGGATGATGAGAAACAGAGACACTTCATGATCAGTCTTAGAGACAAAGAGCTTTAGGGCCTTACACAGTGGAATCAAAACTCTGGCCATGCAGAGAAGTTTGTAACTCAATCATTAGAGATTCATGGAAGGATTTAGGGCCAGGTGGTGTGAGGTGGCTAAAAGGTGCTGAAGTCCACTAGTCCTGCTGTGTGCTCCAGGAAATCTAATGGAATAGATGTTATACTGCTGTCCTCCTGTAATTACCACGTCTCAATTTGTTCCTGCCTAATACCCACCCTCCCATATCTCCTAATCCTTCAGAAAAGGGGACCAGAAAGAGATGCCCGTCACTAATACAACGGCTGAAAATCAGATCCCAGCAACACTCACCCAGTTGCCTGCTCCACTACCAGATCAGGCATTCCTGGAGGCGTCCCCACCTGCTGAGACATTACCATCTCTGGGTCCAGAATAAAAATCTCGTCCTGCGAAATTTCTGTCACAAAGTGCAAATGTTCCTGTTGGAGTGACACAAGCAACAGATAATGAACCTACAGTATCAGTGGTCTCTCAGAGTACCCAGTGCCCTAGAATGAGTTGACTGCATGTCAGGTTCTCTGAAGAATATTAAAGGAACTCTGTGTATTTAAGTGTGTACTCATACACACACACATTAAAATCAATGGCACAGAAGTCACCAATTAATAGGTCATCAATTTCAAACCAAACAAGATTCCCAATGAGCAAGCTGCACACTCACAGCACCACTTTAAAGGCTGTTATTCAATAACTATGCCATTCTGATGAATCCTGGAGGTCTACCCAAATATCTGAAGTTTGCATTTTGAAATGAGGACAACACCTGAAGTCTCTTCTTTGATGATGGTTGACAAAACTTTTCTTGTTTGGGAGTACTCTTCCAGATCTCCACCACTTGTACATTCTGTTTTCACATCTCCATTACCAAAGCTCTCTTTCTCAATCCTTTATTTTTGTGACTGACACTGAAGGTTAATTGTCTTTTAAAAAAAACCACTGAGTGTGAGTATGCCTGTCTATGTAGGCAAATGGACAGGAAATTTGCCATTGTTTGAGTGCTGGGACCAACACACAGTATTAATTTTTCCCCCACAGAATCACAGGATGAAGTAGGCATTAAAAATGACCATCAGTACAGTGTCAAGTATTAAAGAAATGCAGAATAAGCCAGAGTAAAATTGCCCAGTTTAATCTGTAGCAGCATCTTCTTCACCCCTGCCTTCCCAAGGTTAGATTGCAACATCAAACCATTTATTTGACTGTGTGCAAAGAAGTCCCATGGTGTCTACATGCAGACACTGAACATGGGAACTCTGAACTAACGTCTCAACTCATTCTGCTTGAGCTAAAGCACCAGCTGCTTTTGCTAAGAAGCAGTAACACATTCCTGTGATTCAGAAACAGCTTACACAGCTCTCAGGGGGCCCAGATACAAACAACCACAGTGTGAAATCAACAATTTGAACCTAATGCTGAGCCACTAATTGGCCTGCTCTGACTACAAATCAGAAACACCAAAAGCCCTGTAAAATTTTCAGTGTCTTAGAAAATACATTCATATTATCAGATCTATGCCACAGGTTTGAATCCAGCAGAGATATACATTGTTTTGGGGTTCCTTATGAGTATTTTATATATCTCTGTTCATAATTCTCAAATTGTAACAATATCTTAACTTCCATAGCTATTTCATGGTGCGCACACATACACACCCCCACAGGATCAAGACTTCTGGTGCCTAAAAACATTAGTGAAAAGATAAATACTAATACATTGGTGCCACACAGATGCCCCGAGTAAGACTTGATAAGGAAAACAATTGCAGAAAATTCTCCTCTGCATCAGATTGGTAGTAAACAGAATGGCAGATGGTCAGCAGATACGAGACTTCAGTGAAAGAACATGAATTAGATCAACTAAAACACAGTCCAGAATTTTTTTCTCTACTTCTCATGAGTAACACTTTGCAATATGCAGGAAGAATGTCAAATAATTCATTTTAAGCTGCATTTGACATAGATTAAAAAAAAAAGTAATCTATATGAAAAGAAAACAAATAAGGATTTACCTGAGATCTGTCAATGCGGTAAAAACGATCAGCAGAAGTTGCTGCAAGACAGAGAAACAGCAGAAAACAGTCTGAGCAGGACTGCCTGGAGAAGATGGGCTGCACTAACATTACTGGCTCATAAAACAACCCCAGTGTCAGGGAAGTCACAGTGGCTCCACAAGGACATAAGCTAATTCCTAATGTCCATATGAGTGGTGTGTCCTGGGTCAGTACTGTGACCAGCATCTTTGTCAGTGGCACGGACAGCGGGGTCGAGCGTGCCCTCAGTGAGTTCCCTGCTCACACCAGCCTCGGTGGAGCAGTGAACACACTGGAGGTAAGGGACACCAGCCAAGGGCACCTTGACACGCTTGAGAGGTGGACCAGTGCAAGCCTCATGGAGTTCAACAAAATGCAAGGTCCTACACAGGAGCCATGGCAATCCCAGGCACAGACAGAGGATGCGTGGAGAAGTGACTGAGTGCCGTCCAACAGAGGAGGACTTGATGGCTGGTGAAAAACTCAGCATGAGCCAGCTGGGTACGCTTTTAGCCCAGAAAGCCAAGCATGCCCTGGGCTTCAGTAAAAAGGAAAGTGGCCAGCAGGTCAAGGGATGGGATTCTCTGCCTCTACTCTGCTCTTGTGAGACCCTGCCTGGAGTGCTGTGTACAGTTCTGCTGTCCCCAACACAAGAAGGACCTGGAACTGTCAGAGCAAATCCAGAGAAGGGCCATGAAGTTGATAAAGGGACTGGAGAACCTCCCTTACTAAGACAGACTGAGAAAATTAGGGCTGTTCAGCCTGGAGAAGAGAAGGTTGCATGGAGGCCTCAAAGAAACCTTCCAGCACCTGAAGAGGCCTACAGGGAGGCTGAAGCCAGACTCTTCATCATGAACTGTGGTGACAGGACAAGGAGTAAGGGGTACAAACTGAAAAAAGGGGAATTTTGGGCTGGATATTAGGAAGAAATTACTGTCAGAGTGGTGAGATAGTTTCCCAGGGAATTTGTGAAAGCCCCAACCCAGGCAGTGTTCAAGGTCAGGCTGCATAAAGCCTCGAGCAGCCTGGTCTAGTGAGACAGTCCCTGACTGTGGCAGTGGGGCTGGGTCTAGATGATCTTTAAGGTCCCTTCCAACCCCTAACATTCTACGATTCTGTGATATTCCTATCCCATCAAATGCTGAATTTGAAGATAAGGCTTAATGAAACAGTAGTCACTGAAAATATTAACTTGAAATAAATATTTTTAAAATGTGTAAAATGGATTTCAGTCTTATAAGAAGAATTGATTACATTAAAATAAGTGACAGAAAAAGCTGCTTTGTTCTGATGCGACTATAGCAAGCATATACTGAATTTGACGGGTCTTATGGGATTAATTCAAATTCAGAATCTAAAGATCAATAATATGCTTAGGAGCTCTTTATGAATCAAATACACGGCCACAGATATTGACTCTGAATTAGCAATATGTTCAAGGAAAATTTATTCTACTCATGAAAAACACATGAAAATTGGGGGATTCACCAAATGAAGCATGTATTATGAATCTTGTCATTGCCAAACAATTTATATTACTAAACCCAAAAGTAGTTATCATCTACAATGTGCTTCATCAGATGCCATTTTTTTGTATCTGCTTTGCATTTATTTGGGTGAGTGAAATCAGGTTCATTCACTCTGCAGTTCTGACACAAGAGCACAGTGATGCAGCATTGTAGGTTTTGGCAATTCACAGGAATATCAAATACTAAAGACAAAATCTGAACACATCTACCCATCCAGCTTTCTCCAAAAGCCAAACAGATTCTCACCATGGCTTTTATCAATGTCCCTCATGAGAGACAAAGAAGGGTGATTAGAAATTGCCAAGGATAATTTGTTTTTGTTTTGAGCATTAAAAATTCAAGTCTCCTCATGCTGAAGCTTTTGTAAAAGCAGATGCCATCCATTTCAGCTGCTAATTCCTGTGCTCTGGAGCCTGATGTAAAGCCCAGATAAATCATCTGTTTTTACGAAGTCTGGGCCAAATACAAGCGCAGCTCTCCAGTGCAGAGTTACAAGGAAAGGGAGGTACCTTTCTGTCACCTAAACATTGTAGTGCCTAAAGTACCTGCAGAGAAACCAGGGTAAAGAACTCAGCTCTGCCAGCAGCAGTGAATTGCCACAACTGGCTGCACTCTGAGCTCAGGCAGTGCATGCCATAAAGTCTGCTCATCACAGCAGACACTGATAAACCAAGCTGGTAACCTGCCTCTGGGAAACACCCCTCTGAGGGATGAAAAAGCTACAGAAGATATTTTGATTATTATATGAAGGACCTGTTTCATTTTTTAGAGGGGAAAGGGGGGCACTCAGCTCCATTTTTACCTGCTCAGTGTAACAAGAAGGAACAGTTACCCCCTTCTAGTAATACATTCAGAACTGTTCTCCATAAGCCCACCAGAAGCAGGCAGCATGCTAGGCACAGGAGAGGGGAGATGCACTTACCATCTAGGAAGCACCATCTAGGAGAGAGCCTCTGAACAGAAAGTACTCTGGGGAAAGAGCTTTCCTGGTCCTGGATAGGGCATGAAAATTACATTATTAAAAAACCCCAACAAACTGTTTCTTCTCTAGAAAGGACTTCTAGATTTTCTAGACTTTGACTTTTTTATTTTGCTTTACTGACATTGCACAATGTGCAAAATCTATATAACCCAGGAGCCAAATGAAATTATTAGGGAGGAATTTAGATATTCTTCCTGAACTGTACTTATCAAAGGCTCAAATGGGCTACCTCATGTGTTTTTAGTTGTTACTGGAAAAGCAAAAGAGATCCAAAGGGATCTAAGAGAGCAGAGGGTGATCATGGATGGCTCTGTTCCATGGTCAGCCAACTTCCTAAATCTACTGCATACAACATTTAAACACAAATATATTTGCACAGGGCAAAACAGAGTAGCATGGACCTTTGGCACACATAATTTATATAGACACAGGTTCTGTCCTTATTCACATCTTAAGCAGTACAATCAGCACATCTGCAAATGTTGTAAATTCAGGTATGTGTTGGCTCAAGATTATTTACTTCTCTTTCAGACAACAGACCACAGAGTAGTACACCAAATGACATGGCAGGAAAAGCTACAGGGAGGATATTACTTGATCCCTTAAACCTTATTCTCATATACAGGTTATGGTATCCAGCCTCTGTGCTTCACAGAGATGGAGACAATGACAGCGTAACATTCCATAAAGTGAACTATAACTATACATGAGGAGCAAATAATACATTTCAGGGATTTCACAGAATCAGATTTAAAATACAACTTTGTCTAATACAAGCAAACAGACTTGTGGGATTTTTAGGTTTGATTGTAGGGCCACTAGAATGTTTGTTGGAAAATCAAGGATCTCTGAAATACACTGGGCTTGCTGACATCATCATATCTACATGCACAAAGCTTTATGTATCTTAATATTTAGTCCACTCTGTGTGAAATGGAAGGGACTGCAACGCAAAGGACAAAAGGAAGAAAACATCCAATGGTGTGTACTACAATGCAGTTTATAAAAAGAGGAGAAATTAGTAAAATTCATAGAGTACAAAATGCTGAGAAAATGAAGATAGGAATACTGCTGGTAAATTTCAACTCAAGTCACAAATTGCACTTTGTGACATACTCCCTCCAAGACTTCATTACAGTCCAACTACAGACCGAGCTTGCAAAGTCTCAGTCCCATGAGAATGATATTTTGTGAGCATTAAACTCATTAGAGAAACAAAACAGAATGAGAAAACACTCCAATATATTTTTTCTCATTTGCACCTGGGTTAGCTAGTATTTCTGCTGACTGCCTGCTTTGAACTGCAGAGGAATCACACAAGTTAATTGCATTTAGGAGACTTAAAAGTACCCATGACACCTTATTAGTGAGGTATGAAGATGGTTTCATCAGCTCAAGCACCCTATTCATGCCCTTTATCCCCCTCTTTTCCCCATTTCTGTAATATATAGAGAGATACCAAGAAATATGGAACAAACCTCAAATTAATCTAATGAGACAATTTGCAGAAATGACCCACTGAGGGGAAAAAAAAAAAAAAAAGAATCCTAGACAAACAAGTGATGAAGACAAAACACAGAGAGGGGGGAATTTAAAATGTAGCATCATAAAAAATGAATGGTATGTTAGGGATTTCACACTGCTGTGCACTAGAGAAGATGGGTAGGCAACTAATTTATATACTGCTGTAACTGCAGAGGTTAGAGCCAAGTATGGAGCTGATTTCTGACATTTCACACTCTCTTGTACATCTCCCCATATACACAGATTTAGTTCTTCATTTTACCTCAGGCAGTTTCCTACACATGGAGCAGTCAGCAGCCACTTAGGTTAATTTATAATGAGAACAGAATCATACATGCTGGTTTATTAGTCAATTTTCTAGACACTAACGCTGTTCTAAAACTCCGTTCCAGGGCAATGATTGATGGAAATGTCAAGAATATGAAGTTAGCATTGGATAGGGAAACAAAGAAACAAACCATGAACTGATATAAAGAAGGCAACTCCAGGAAAACATGCCAAATTGCATTTTCTTATAGTGTCTGCAGCCAGTGCATCTACAGGCATTCTTGTGAAACTGGAATTATGTATCACCCAAGTAATGATGAACCCCAAAGAAATTATCTGCAATTTCACCAGAACTGGTTCCTGTGGACTGGGTCTCTGTATGCTTTCTCAGTGAACTCATGCCAGCTGATGCAACAAGACTTGCATTGTTATTTCTAGGAAAATACTATCAACACCATGCAAATTTTCCTGTGCACTATGTCAGTTGAGCATGGTTTGTGCCAAGTCTCCATGCTAATATTAGATAATTTCAAGAGTTAGTAGAGTTATTTGTCTCATACAGAAAACACACATTTGCTTAGGATGTACTAAAACATTACCCTGAAGATTATGTAAAGGTAGATGACTGTCCTGTACAGAATTATTAAGAGGATGGGCCTGCTAAAACACCTTTTGTTTTCTCAGTGATAGACTTCATTACAACAGCTATGCAATACAAGGTCATTGTTCAGTTTCTCAGACAGAGGAACAATTTTACTTTTGTCATTTGTCCCACAGGACACATTTGTTCATTCACTTGCATATGGAAAATACTGCTATTACAACATCACTCACATCATCAAGCTCTGTTAATTTTAAAGGTGATTCCATAAAACTTGTCCAAGAGAAAGCCGAACTAGCTTCCAATATTTAAGGGTAAACAAAATAATCAGATAATTAGAAATTCATCCAACATATGGGTCTTTCACTCAAGAACATACGGGTTCAAATGCAAAGAGTGTCATTCCCATTTTTAAGCCTCTTTCTGTTCTGATACTAAAAGGAAAGCTTATCTTACCTGGTAATGAACTCTCTGTGTAGTAGAGGTTACTGACTGTAGGTCCTAGCAGGAGAATGAAAGACATGGCAGTGATGAAAAAGATTAAAGCAACAAGAAGAGCTGTTCTATTATCTGAAGTGGCTGGGCATACACAAATAATTTTGCAAATATTTTTCACTGGTTTTAAGCATATGAAACAAACTCCACAGAAAAGTCAGGGAAAGTTAACCCAAAGTTTAGATTTGTATACATTTGGTCCAAAAAACAGTTTCAGAAAAAAAAAACCAAAAAAACCAAAACCTTACACTGTATCTTTATTGTGGTAAAAAAATCTATTTGTTCCAAGAGAACTATCTAAATTTACAATATCAGTAACAAAATTAATGAAAATACAGTAAGACACTTTTGCAAATATTTCTGAGTGATTAATGCACTAAAGAAACCCACTGACAGTTCTCTCTATTTTAAGACAACCTCACTCCAAGGAGGTCATATCAGAATGATCCTGACATTTAACAGGGTTCAGGCATCTAATTTATTTTAATAGACATTCTGTCAGATAGTTATAGCACATGACACAGTCTACTAAAGAGCCTGGCCTGCACACCACTGCCCTCCAGCAGCATGCAAGTTGGCAGAGCCCAGTAAACCTTGGCATCTCTGCTCCCAGCAAGTGGGACGGAGCCAAATCAAGCACACACACAAAAATTAGTACAAACCCTCCAAAAGGTTGGAGAAACACAGCTTCTCCACAACCAGTATGGGTAATTCAACCAAAATATCTAGCTCTGCTTTCTTCAGGGGTTGTACCTAAAACTGCCTGAATTCAGTGTAAGATCCCATTTCTAACCTGATGAGATCATCATCATTATTATTGCTGTAATCATTATTATTATTTACTGCAATTTTCTGTACTGGATACTTCAAATATGTACCACCTATGGTTATATATTTGATAATAAGGGTCACACCCCAGGTCTGAATGTCCAAAAGTGCATTTGATGAAGGGAATCCTGGCTGAAATGCACAGAAGTGAAAACCTGAAGTGAGAAACTAAGGCTCATATTCAGACTGCATGTCCAGAATTCCAAAACTTATGGAAAGTCAGTGGCTCCCAAAGAGTTCAGTGGAAGGGATGAAGTTCATAGATCCTTCATAAATTAAACAATATAATTTAGGCAGTTTATAACAATTATAAATTGTTATAAATGTAAATGTATAAATTCTTTATAAATGTAGCGTCCACAGACTTGTGAATGTTATTGAAAGCTGTCACTAAGAGATTGAAAAAAATCAGAGACAATACATTAATGAAAATCCATTAGTTTTATCATTAAAGGGGTTCACACTTAAAATTATTTTGGTAATGAGGAATTTGGAGTCTGCATTTCCTCTCTATTGTAGAATGAACTCTCATGAGACAAGGTGCTCGAGAATAAGAGCAAAACTATTGTTAGCTGCGTGAACACCCATTTCTGTGTCTTTGAAAATATCTAGTTGATATTTGCTGTGTTTAGTGGTGTCTCAGATTACTCAATGACAGCATTAGAGAACTATATTTACATAATTAGACCCACTCAAATACCACAGTGTTTATCCTTGCATAACACACTTTCTAATCTATAATTTATGTAATTTCAACAAGGTATATGGAAAGTCCTAGTATTCCATTATAAATCAAGGAGAAGTAAACACACCCATCCACTTCAATTCTATTATCATTTAAAAGGAATCAGTATGATTTTTAATTGCCTGTCTAGTGAATATTTTCCAGTACTTTTATTATCATGTCTGAATTCTAGAATTTTGATTTCAATGGTAGGCAAATTGCAATGCTCTTGATACATGACTGTTGCAATTATTAGACCCCTGCTGAACTGAAAGAAGCATAAAATAGTCCTGTAAATGATACCAGAATTCACAAAAGCCTCACCTCTTGTAGACGGTCAATGTACATACGACAAGTCTCCAAGTCACAATCTCCTCGTACAACTATGATTCCTAGGGGAATGGCTGAAAAAAATCAAAAAACAAAGAAAAACCTCTTTAACTGAAGTCTCTTGAACTGTAACAGACTTGCAATGGTTTCCAACTTTGTTTTTTTAATAACCTCATGATTCTTTTTTACTATTTAAACTTTAACAGTTATGTAAAAACAAGAGCATATTATTAATCATTATTTTCACCCATTTATAATTATCAAATATCTCATTTTCAACCATCTTTCATTGTTTCATGAAAGAAGCTAAAACATATTCAGTTAAATTGTGTACTTCATTTTCAGATCTGAACATCAAATATTGTCTGCAAAACAAAGGGACATACCCCAGAACAAGTGTTATGGGAGAGACCTTTATACCCTGTAATAAGAGTGATATTTCATTCTCAGAACTCATAATTACAGATTTAAAGCAAGGGAAGTCACAGCCTGATTTCAGGGAAAACTATCCAACACCAGGTTATTTTAATGTAAAGGTGCTTCTAAATCAAAACCGACATTATTCCACTTACACACAGAATTGACACATTTCCATATTTAGTCAGAAAATAACAAACAGAAGATAACTTGTGAAAATACAGCAAAACCTTTCAGGTTAGGACAAAAGTTTTAATAACAGGAGATGGATGTTTCCACATTCATTCTGTTTTTAACACCAAAAAGAGTTCAAAGCAAAATCACAAAAATAAAGATAAATAATAAAGAATACACCAAAAGAGAAAAAAGTAAGTCCACAAGAAAGGTACCAAGAGAGCTACCTACTAAGATCACATTAAATAAAAAGAAAACAAGTGAAAACTCTTGAGTACCTGTATTTGTGAAAGCAAATCACTGAATTAAGTTCTTTTTTTTTCTCCCTGAAGGTTCTTTAATCAAATAATGACCAAAAAATTTTGGAAGCAGCAGGAAAGATATTTAAATCTTCACATGAAATATTCCAGAAGCAGAACAGACTATCAACTCATAAACAATTTTGATAACTGAATAATGAGCAGCAACATAAAATCACCAAGGTTTCTGAGATAAACAGAAAACACAACTGTGCTCCAACCCTTCCTGCTGTTGAAAAGAATTTGATTAAGCAGGAGAGATACTTAAATACTGACAAGATTTAATTCTGATAAGACAACAAGACAGTGCTAAAAGATAGTGGGGAAGAGACCTCCTATTTTTCTGGTCCACTGAAGCTTGAAGCACATAAGGAGCTCAGTGGTTTCCAGGGAAAAGAGCTGGGGGGCGCCTTTTGAAGTCAAGGCCACTGTGGACTTCAGAGGCCAGCACAGGGCTAAACAATGCTGCCAGAATTGTGTTTGGGAAGCAAATTGAACAGCAGAAGAGCTGTGGACCCAGGAAAACAGGAGTCAGGGAAAAAAATGCTGGAGTGAGAACAGGAACATAAAAAGGGATAGGTGGGAAGGAAGAGGCCACACATCTCCTAAAACAACACTGACATCCAATAGTGAAGACAATCCCCCTGCACATTTTCAGAAGGGCCAGGTGGAAACAGAGCTCGTGGAGACCTCCCAGATTCTTTCACTACAGAACAGAGACTGAGAGACAAGCATGTGGAAGGAGGGTCAGAAACAGGGCTTGCTTCACGCACTCCAGTGCTCTGGGTTACTGACTGATTCTCTTTGCTTAGTGTCTATTATTGTTTAACCTGCTTTGGCAGGAGCCCCTTAAGCTCTTTGCAGAGAGTTCTTAATGGCTATCTAGTTTCAATTGAGCAGATCCCTTTGCAGCCCTTACTGAAATAAGTGTTTGTTAAATTCATTTATAGCACTAAAAACTGAATTGTAGCAGACACAGCTACACCTCCAACAGCTACAGAGCACTAGGGAGTTACAACACTGGCTCACAGATTGTCACCATAGATTTTGTCTCTCTTCTGTGCTTAATGGGGACTAAAGCTTTGACCTGACAAAACACAGATAACAGAATTGGAATCCTTAACTATCATCATTCCTGAAAGACCAAAAGAGAAGGACCTTAAAACATTCGTAATTCTAAAAAAAATCCACCAAAATGTCTAAAAAGAAAAAACTAGCAAGCAGTAGATATCTTGGTGGTGATACTTTGTGAGTCTCACCTAATGATTGAAGAAGTAGTGATTCATAGCTTTAATTAATGTCATACTGGTTCTTAGTGGTCAAAGAACAGTTCTGAAAATCTGGGCTGTGTGACTTTGTCCTTAAAAAGAAAGGTGCTCCCTTAACTGTTTGGAAATCGTGAATTAGCATGATGTATGGCTTTTGGGATCAATGACTAGCTAAGAGGTAATGTCTGAGGTGGGTCTCAAGTGGTTCCATTCCATGCGGTTTATGGCCTTTGAAAAACCTTTGAAGTCATTACTGGATAACACTACAGGGTATGCTAATATGTTGCTTTCCAATTTTTGTTGTTTGTTTGTTGCTTGGTTGGCTCCTTTTGCAAGAGCCATTTGGCTTTCAGCAAGGAAAATGTTCAGAGCCCTCATTTTTATCATAAACCACAATAAGCAATCAAAATGCACCACACAGTCAAGATTTGCAAAGTGCTTCACAATAGTTGCTGTTCTAAAACAAAAGCAAACACTTCGTGATTGATAATGGGATAGAAACTCTGGGGTTGCTTCTCGTTCTACAAATAGCGCAATACCATGCAATAGAGGCAAAATGAGCTAATTTATGATAAATCAGTTGAAGGCCAAGTCAACGTGCAAAGCAGACAGTAACATTGTGGGCACTTAGATCCAGGACTACAGGAGCCTCTGCATTTGCTGTGTGGATGAGGATGTGGTCAGTACAGAAGTGGGCACTGGGATTACAGGAGATGCCAGAAGGGAGGTGGGAGTGTGAACACATTAAGAGCATGGGCACTACAAAACAACTTTCCATGTAACCACACACTGTCCACTCCTGTGAATATATGGATAAACCCACACATGTGAATCTGCCAAAAATAAAGGATAGTCTCAGATCATGAGCCAAGCCACAGTACTCAAGTGCCAGATATTTTTCTCCTGAGGCGCCTGCTCTTCTGGCCACTTGCATCCATCTCCCAATTCCTTTGTGCTCCCCAAATGATGAAAAAGGATTTTGTCCAGGCAGCTATGATGAGCAGCAGTGCAAAAACCCCAGGAAATGAGACAGGCAGACAGTTGCTTCATAATCTGAACCAGTACCACAGAAAGGTTTTTGTTCCTAGCAACACTAACCAAAATCAAGGACCAGTAGGAAGAGGGTTGGGCAGATACAGCAGTATGGCCAGCCTGGTGTTCTAATTAACTGCAAGATTAGGAGTGATTTCCTAAGTCCTCATGAAATTAGCTACAGAATTTATAAACAACAAACAAATCTTCCACCTATTAAGTGCCCATTATGCTGAATACCTAGAGCTACTGAACTCTTTAATAGTATCGAGGACACAAATGAAGGAAGCCCAAATACACTTACATATATTATAAAATTCAATTAACTTTCCTGTTTACTGTTAAAGAAATGATACAATTTGTGATCTTAATACCATGATTAACCCACTTAAATCCCAAACAAAACAGCCTTGAGACAGAACATTGCAGTAGATGTGAATGCCAGGAAAACTCATTCTGATTCTGACATACCTCAGGGGACTGGGGAGATTAGACATTGGACTGTAAATGTTTAATATAACAAATAAAGGATCCTCACTACTGAATACGTCATAAGAATGTCATTTTCCTGAGGGGCTTCCACTGATATTAAGAATATGAAGAACCAAGTAAATTCATGCTAGAGAATTATAAGATATTCAGACATTTATATTAAGAGATTTGGCTTTCACTAGTATGGTTTTAATAAAACTAGTCTGTACGGAGTTTGTACAAAAGGATTTTTTTGCCACACAAATCGAAGCCATGTGTCTCTTCAGATCCCTTCTGCTTATTAAACTGAGAAAACCCAATTCTTCCTAGGTCCATTGGTTACTAGGTTTTTAGCCCACGTTCAAAATTCTCACATATAAGGAGGCAAAATACAGTGGAGGTTATCAGATTAAACCAGACCATGTTTGAAAAGGCAGTCATCCCCTCCAGTCTTTCAGTGATTTCTCCAATACCCTGCCAAAAGGGAAGCTGCCCAAGTCAAAGGAAGAGAGAACCTGTGCCAAACACAACACAGAAAGAAATTGATTATGGAAAAAGATTTGAAGAGCTGGGAATTGAAACTGGCTGGGAATGGATATTGGGACTAAGAGCTAAGAGCAGAGATCTAGATAAACAACAAACAAGTATTTAGGGAAAAGAAAAAGAACAGGAACCTGAGCTGTGAGGTCTGCAGAGACAGACTAAGGAAGGAAGGATGTGTGTGGGATGAGTTATCCAAAGGGGACAACAGGACTGAAAAAGTAAGAGGAAATCAATTCAGAAAAGCATTAACAAAGCACACAAGTAGGATATGGACAGAAGAACATAACAGAAAAGCATGGGAAAGACAAACTACAGTGTGATTTCCTGGAAAGTATGAAAAGGTTCTTAATATTCTTGCTTCTCCCTACTTCTCTAAGGTAAGTATCAATTTGTACCTATATGAAATACTGCACATCTCTTCTAGTTTAAAGATGACAGACTTCATGCATGACAATTTCCCATTAGCTCAAAAGGCAGAGGACTGTACTGAATATGCCCTATGAGATGTCAAGACAATGTAGATTTAGATTAGATATTAGGAGGAAATTATCTACAATGAGAGTGGCAGGACACTGGAATGGGTTGCCCAGAGAAGTGGTAGATGTCCCATCCCTAGGAGAGTTCAAGGCCAGAGACTTTGAGCAGCCTACTCTAGTGAAAGTGGTCCCTGCCCATGACAGTGGGTTGGGACTAGATAGTTTTTAAAGATCCCTTCCCACTCAAATCATTCTATGATTCTATAACTCCACGAGATGAAATTTCAATGGCTTGGGTTTACTCCTTCCCCCAACCTCAGGCAATAACTATTTCCAATATTTAACACACTACTGACTTTTTAATCCTCTTGCTTTCAATTTGCTGGGAGGCTTTAAACAATTCATTCAACCCCTCTCAGTTTCAGGTCTTATGAAATCACTGAGATGTAGTAATGCCAAAATTAGCTAATGTGTACACAACACATATTGACAAAACAAGGTTGTTAGAGCAAGGTATTGACTTCTAGCAGAGTGAAGATAATGTTGTCTTTTATGGAACTTCTACCATGTGCCCAAAGAGAACTCCTGACGAATAAATGCCCATTGGTGCATCCTTTATAGGATGAAAGAGAAAGTTTGTAGCTGCACAACCTGCCTTGTCTAAATCCATTCAGCTCAGAGTTGCTTCCCAATATAAGCACACTTCCTTCATGGCTCATCAGGAAGTCTTCTGTTCCCTGCTGACTTTAATATTACATATTCAGGATATAAATACAAAGTCCTAAGTGCTGACTCTTTCTTACTTAGCTAGTTGCTCAAAATTACATGAGCTAATCTCCAAATTAGGTTCACCTGTGATATCCCTAAGTTTTAAAGAGTCAGAATGCCTTTGACAGAGCAAGGATTCTAAATGCATTTCTGGTATGAGAAAGCTACAGTACCACTGTACATGTACACATCACAATGATTCACTAGCTTGTCACTCTCTGTACCCCCATTATCTGATAAGAACTCCTAGGACAACCCCAAAACCAAAGATAACCCACAGACATTAGAGGCACACACATTATAAACATTTAGCTACAGATAATCAAAGAGACAAGAATTCAAAGTTAAGATTCCATCATTGTTACAGCATCACACACACACACACACAGAGAAAGGAGGCTGCACAGAAAAGGATTGTTAGGTTACAGACCTAATGTCCAATCATTACACATATGGAACTAAATTTTCTCTTAAAATTTATTTTGAGCCTGATGTGCTATTTTACTCTAGAGGACGTAAGGAGCAGCTGCCTCTGTGTAAAAGAAAGTGTGGGAAACCCAGAGCTGATACAGGGCTGAGAGTTATTTCTGATACTGTCATCACTACAATCGGGTATTATTCCTCCTTAATCTTAGTGGTACTGAGGAAGCTCAGTTTACTCTCCATGGCTAGGGTACATACAACAAGTTAAGAGCAGTATGGGCTGACATACCCTATTAAAAATCCTCCAACTCTTACTGCTTATGGTGGGTATTTCACTGATACACTTTTATTGCGCAAATCTGAAATGTTGCTAGGAAGAGCTAAGAAGCACTGAAGATCACTAGGTCGCTAGCTAGCTTGTTTGGTTGGTTTGTTGCCTTCATTCTTTAAAAAAAAATAATTAGTTTCTGCATATGCCACCATTGTCAGGAAATTCTTAGTTATATTGGAAAGGAGAAAATAGGCTGTCACACAGAAAGATTTTTCTGTCTTAAAAATAACTCAATTGTTCACCCACAGTGCTGCTTTGGATCACACTTTCCTGCTATAACAGGAAGCCAGAGAGGGCACACAAGGTAAGTGGGCAACAGAGGCAGAGTTAAATTCTGTCCACTTAGAAACATCAGTCCAGCTTATTTCTTGAGTAAGATAATCTTAGTTATGGTCATTGCAATGTACAACTTTCATACTGGCCAGGGATGGTGATGTTTGTGACTAAAGTGACAAGTGCTTAGGACATGAATAAGGAGGTTTTAGAAGAGACAACTACATTTGCAGTGAAGAACATTACAACATAACTAAAATGCCAACATATATCCCTTTCTTAAAATGCTGCATGAAAGCATTCATCCTCTTCATTGAAGGATCAATAAGCATCCTCTGTACCATCATTAATCATCCCCCACACAATGCTGAGATGCTGACAGAAGAAAAGAAGGAGCAAGGGGAAGGAAGAAAAGGACAATTCAGAAACAGCATCTTGGTAAAATGCCAGCTGCATTGACAAGAAAAGTAGAAAACAACAGAAGGAGTATGAGCTAAGGACAGTCATGCCCTTCAAAGGACAAAATGACATGTTTTAATTGTTCTGGAGGCTTTCAAAATGAGGTGTCTACCTCCAGCAGAGTGAAGATTAATCTTCATGGAACAGTTTGTATCATGAGCTCCTCTATGTTGGGAAGTGCAATCTTAGGCAAAATAGGGTTGATAGATTCAAATGAGTATTTCAAGCAAACAAGGGGATTAATGTATTTACTGTGAGTTAAAATGATCCAGATTATTACACTGAGGTCAGAGCTTTCAAAACCGTATTATGGAGACATGTAACAGGCAAAAACCATAATAGGTTCTTCACTATTTTAACTTCAGGGATAACTCCTTATTAATGGGCTTCCTTTTCCTGTCCAGATTGCTGTGAGATTCTGCTTTGTTCTCAAGTTATTTAGGGAGGTTGAAATGTTTTTAATCCTTGTGAATGGATATTAAGTGTAGTGTTCTATATTCAGTTGTAGGTATTCTGCCAAAGTCTGAAAAAGTACATAAACATGATCTCCTGCAAGCATCTAATGAGACACCCATACACACAAAAGCTACAGTCCTGCAGAAGGACACCAGCACCTCTTCAGTAACAGCTCCCCAGTAAAAGAGGCATTTGAAGTTATATAACCAGAGAAGTAGGTTTATGACCACCAGTGTATAGTGCAAGTTACATGCATCTCACGGGACACACTTACTGCAAAGGCTAAGGTGAAGTGTCTTTCCTGGTTCCTTTTAGGATAGTAGGGATACTTTTATTGTATTTTTCTTGTATTTCTTGTGTTCTTACAGTAAGTAACAACAGTAATGCACAAGCATTTCTGGGACAATTAAAGGACAGCTGGTAGGAAAAACAACTCAATGAAAAATATCTAGGGAGAACAGTCCAGTCCAACTATGCTATATTATCAAGGTGGACATGCATTAACCTCAAAAAGACAAAAGGGTTTTATTATAAATGACCCACCACTGTCCAAAAGCAATCATTTTAACTCTTGATGAATAAATATCTGTTTTTTGAATGATAAACTCTTAAGCACATTCCTAGTAAGTGATCAAATCCATATGAAATCCAAAATGAAGATGTTAGATCAGCTGCTGGCATTTTCTTATGATGTTAATATTATGAATTTTGGCAGGTGACAAATGACATAAATACATGGTTACCACTGCAGTAACAATAGTGTAAGAAGTTGTATATTTTGTGTCAGAACATGTAATGGTTCCTAAGTACAAAATACATGCTGACTACAGACAAAGAAAATTTACATGCATAGTAAGATGGATGAGGATAGTTCTCAGATGGGAAACCCTCAGATGAATCAAGTTGTTTTTGACAGTGTTGGGGAGCTGTGTTCAATGTGGCCTGAAATCTACTCAATGTCAAACTCAATTTAAACTTGAAGCAAGTTCTCCTCCAATGGGGAACAGCCCTGGTCCTGTTAAAATTCTTCTCAGCCCAATGAAGAAGGCTTTGATTGCTTTAAATATGACCACAGTCCACTAACTTCACTTAAGGCTGTCAAGACCTATGTTAAATTTAAGCCATTTCAATTCTTTTGTTGTAAGGAGAGACAGTAGATTGAGGAGGGGTGGGTCTGGAAGAGTGAAATGGAAACAGTTTCACTATCTTCCAACAATAAGATAAGCAAACCAATTGAAAGGATTGTCATCCTGTAATTACCAGAGCACTCTGTATTGCAGAGGGGACTGAAGCTCTGTTGTGCAACAGTCATGTTTGTAATTTAATATGAATAATGAGCCAGATGCATAACAAGGCTATTAAATTGTTATCACAAGAAGCCCTGTCCCTCATTGATTAATGACTCTCTGTGTCACCAAGGAAAGGAATTCCATTTTTAAGTGCAGATTGTCATCATCAATGTTGCCAAAGCAACCACTGTCTGCTTTTGACTTACCCCTAAACACGGCAATTAAACCATTACATGAGGAAACAAAACAGTGATTATTCTCTGAAACAGAAAACTGAAGGCTGGTAAAGAATAAGGGTGTGGGGAACCCAGATTTGGCCCCCAAGATAAATGTACCTGTGCAAGAACCGTGTTCCAGGTCAGTGCACATTCTCAATATCAAATATATCATGGTCTCCCACTCAGTTTGAAATCTGGTGCTAATCATAAAATCTGGTACAGTTCCATATGCTAGACACCCAGCAGAACCAACAGAAAGACATAAATAAAAATACCCTGTGTGAAAAACACTTATTTTACAGTAAATATAATCATAGGGCAGAAACATACTTAAATAAGAAAGCAGGTGCAATCTCTATACATGATCTTTATAGAGGCTAGTTATATAGAGAGAGCACTTTTGTACATATGCACATATAGATGAGCATACTCTCTACATTACTCATCCAAATATGTATGCTTGACTCTGTGTTTGGGATTCTTTTGTTATTTTTGGGGTAAGGGGTTGTTTTGGTCAATGTAAGATTTGTATGGATTGTTCTACCAAAAGCAGTTACTATCTGGCTTCTTCCAACTTACAAGCTTCCCGGAGTTTTTCCTTGTCATAATGTAGCCCCTCGTATTCTTGTAAATTAATCCTGTTCACTCTGATCCGCAGGCGATCTGGGATGGAATGAGGACTGTAAGAAAAGAAGAAAGCTTCTTAGACAAAGCATTCCCTGGAAGAGCAAAGGAAAACAGGATATGAAGGGATTTCAATCTTCTCTGAAAGAAGAAAATGAACCAGCCTCTTCAAAAGTGGGACAAATCCTCACAGGCTTATTTCTGCATTTAAAATTATGACTTTCTACTGCACAACAGCATAGACATTACACCTTAAATAATAAGCAAGATCAAGAATCCAATTTGTTGATTGCGTGACCTGAAACTGTAAAGATTTTTTTCTGAGTTCTTACACCCCGATGTAGCTACCCTGCCCTCCTCCAGTTCAACTTTGTGTACATTCTTAGAGCCCTACCACAGCCAGTAGATAGATCTGCCAACTTGAATTTCAAGACACGGAAAGATGCTTCTTGGGAAGTATCTCAGGACAACCTCTGCCCATGAGAGCATCCACACCACATTACTGAAGGATCTTGATCCAGCATCTCAGGCCTGAGAAACAGTCAACAAAAATGTGGCTAAGAACTGGATTTCTAAAGTGGTGAGTCTAATACTCAGAACCCAGAAGGACTTTTAAAAGCAAGTAGCAGTATGGCAAGCTCACTTTTACAGATTTCAGTCTGATTTAGATACCTCAAGTATTGATACTTTTGAAAGACTCAGTAGGTCAGTATCTAGAAATTTAAGTGGTCCTGTATTGATAGAAATTTGTCCAGAAAAGTTTTCTTTTTCACGTCACACTAGTTTTTACCTTAATGTAACCTATTATTTGATTTGTTAAGTTTAGCTGGATGCTATGCAAATTAATTTAGCTACACTTGCATCTTCCACTTTTAAAGAAAGATAGACAATCTGTGTATTATAACACACATAGCAAATGTCTGTCCAATAGGAACTTAGCCCCAGGTCAGTTAGAAGTAGATCACTCATTCTGTGCTTTTACCAAAAGACTGTCTATATTTTCTGTTTTAATCTTGTTAGTAACAGGACTCTGTCTACAGTAATATTGACTAATACATACTGCCTTTTGAAAATCATAATGCTGCATGCTATCATAAATATACTATATTATTTATCTACGTAATAGGTTTGCTTCTTTGTCTCAGTTTCAAACTATTTGACTTACAGCATTTGCACTGCTCATGAAAGACAAGGCATATCTCACAAATGTTACCTGCATTACCTCATCTCTAAACATTGGTTCAAATGTGGATTTTCTTCACTAATGTCATCAATTAATCAGTGGTAGACATGTCCTGTCACAATGGGTCTCATTTCAAACTCCTTATCACAATGAATAATATGGATATTTCATGAAAGCAGGAGAGGAAAGACAGGGAAACAGGATCACCTCACACCAACATCTGCCACACCTTGGCTAATTGTCTCTCTTCCAACCTACCTGTGAGAACAGGATGGTGTTTGGACACCAAGGGAGAGAAAGACAACACTGACTTCTGTAGATATGCTGACTCACTACCTAATGCCATGTAAGGAAGAAAAACAAATGTTATTTCTTAGCTTGAAGCTGATGGCAACCTATTGCATGCGTAGTATCACCTTCTGAGTCAAATTAATCCTTTCACCTGAAAAGAAGTGAACAAGATCTTTTTTCTTTGCTTGGAGCTGAAGGAAGAAGAATATCTAAAATGAAGTGCAAATCTAGAATATATTTTTTTCTTCCAGGAACCACACACACACTCTCCAAACTTCTCTTTTAATTAGAAAATGTTGAAGAGGACACTTCTCATGCTTTTGCAAAAAACTATAATTTTTGATTATAGGCACATTGTATATCTCTGACTTTGCTTCTGCAGGAGCAACAAGCACACCATCTAAAATGTGACATATTTTCTGAGGAGAAATAGGAGCAGGTCTAGTGTAGGAGGCCAAGTACCAGAATTTGATATTCTCTTCCACCCTCCTCTCACACCATTTTTATAAAGATAGGCTAAAACCACTACATAAACAGGTTGTGTGCTAAAACACACAACTGGGGAGAAACAGAACTTGGCCTCTTGTCCATTTAAAAAGTTTAGTTATCTTAGTGAAAAAAGTGTAACCTTGGAAACAGTAGCTTTCCACAGGAAATAAACTATTATCAGAAATAACAATGCCAGGAGTTCCTTTCTACAGGGTAGAGATTTATACACTTAGTGAGGTCCAGTCACAAGCAGATATTCATAATAATATATGTATAATATATGTATAAACATATATACACGTTCCTAAAAATGTGTGTGTATTGACATATACACAAAAGAGACATTTATTCAATAACTGAAGCTGCATGGTTTTGTTCATCAGTTCTTTGCAAGCACCCTTTGTTCTCTTAGAATAATCATTGGCTGACACATTTTGTCACTAAATTTTATTACCTATTCAAAATAAATTTGATTCTAAAACTCAACTTTGAATATTCACTTCTTGTGTTATCAGACTAGCAATTGACACTAGGGTATATTGTCCCCATCCATCAAACTAATTAACTCATTCATTCACAGAACTCCATTTAACACAGCTGAGCAAAATATTTCCACTATCAACAGTACTGCAGTCCTCATACACACTGCATCATAATCCATATTATTATACAAATAGATCAATTTGTCTTTGTTCAGACATACTCAGTATACCCAGGAACCAGAAAGATTAAATACATAAGCATGTCCATGTAAAAGCAAATAACAGGGTGATGAATGTCACTGAACACAAACATTAGTGCAGTATTAATAGAAATAGATGTCTCTGAATACTGTGTAAAACAATTTGCTCAACCACGAGGAGAGGAAGAAAAGCTTTCCACATAAAGCAGCAATTTATAAATAAATTTGGGGAGACTGCTGTACTTTAATTCAACCTAAAATATCTAAATTACTTACCTCTTGCCAATTATTTTTTTTAATGGTGTATTACATAGTCAACAAAAAGAATTGAATGTCCAGATGAATGAAGTCCATTACCTCCTAAGGAATCTAATTAAGAATGCCTTCCACAAACACATCAATCCACAGAATTAAGTCCTAAATGTTATTTGCCTCATGAGGATGTAAATAAAGATTGGGGTCAACTAAAACATTATTTTTGGTCTTGTTTATTATTTATAATTATTTCATCTAAACACAAATTTAAATATGAATCTTCTCCAAGATCCTTCACCTAGAAAACACACTCGGCTTTTGATGAACTCACGACTTCCTCCTCTCACCCCTATTAATCATCCAGCAACAAGTGAGAGGATGCCAGACAGCTCACTTGGAGCACAGCTGGTTTTCCTAGGAAAGGTGCTCCTGCCTCCAGTCACCCAGGGAAGAACACAGGCAGAGCAGGCTTGGGTCCTGCCCAAGCCTGGCACTCCTGCAGAGCAACGGGTCACACTTCTGCCATGCCACCAGCTTGATTCAGCTGGGAAGACAGACCTGTAAATTATAAATACCCCAGTCCCTATATCAATTATTTATGAACCCAGTGAACCATTTCTTATGCTTCATGTCTCTGCAGAGAAAGGAATAATAAGAAAAAACAGTCCAACAAGTCTACATAATCCCGTGACAAATTTCAGATAGATCTTCTAGAATACAGCCCACTTCATCCTACACACAGATTTTAACATGATTCAGTAAAAAGAAAAGGAAATCTACTTCCCCCCCATACAAAATACTTGAGTAAAAAAAAAATCAGTCCTTTAGGGGGTGTTTGCAGTGACAATGAATGATTAATGAATTACCTGTCTCCTAGAGAAGAAATAAACATGAAAAATTAATTAAGTCTTACAGTGTTTAGAACAATTGGAAAGAGGAAAGCTTAGCCAAAAGAGAAAAATGAATTCACCTTACTTTCGAGATCATACTGACAGATCTTGGAAATGATACATTAAAAATAAGTTTCTGACAGCATCTATCTACTTAAAACATAAGAACTGCCACAACAGAGCAGATTCATTCAGTCTCTTCTATGGACAAATTTCAGTGCTTCACAAAAGTTCACTATTTTAAGGTAAAGCTCTAGCTAAGCTCTTTACCTAAAAGAAAAAAATACCCTTGAAATTATAAACTCTACGACATTTTTTTTTTTTCTTTCATTTGGGAATCTGAGCTAGATGAGCAGCTATGTCATAAAATGCTGGGCCAAAATACAGTCCCCTTGGTTAGGAGAAGCATTGAAAAGAAAAGATACACCTCAGAGATGGGATGAGAATTTCATGATAGAACAAAATAGTATAATAGTAATAAATTCGGTAATAATAATAATAATTGTAGCTATAAGTGGGGGGTAGAAACAGTTTCCAACATGAGAGAAAAATGTGGTGCATGATACAACTTCTCACCATGCAGCACATACTCAAACAGCAGTCAGACCCCTCCCAGGTAACTCCTCCAGTTTACATCCCGGGCATGACCTTCTCTGGTGTGTTTGTGCCAGCTTACCTGGCCTCGCTCCCTCCCAGCTTTGAGTGCAGCTCCTCAGCAGCAGTGTGAGACACTGAAAAGTCCTTTACTTGGGATAAACACTACTTAGCAACAGCCAAAACATTATTCTTGCCATAAATAATAAAAAAAAAACAGTTCTGTACAGCTACTAGGGAAAAAATTAGCCATGTCACAGCCAAACCCAGGACATAAGTGTTATCCCAGATACGCCAAGTGAACCCGACTAAATTCTTTGGCACTTCATTATCTCACAATTGCTTCAGCAAATACACTTTGCTTTGTAGAGGCTAGACCCACACAGATATTTAAAGTACAGACACATACTGAAGCTCCCAGTAGAATCCTGGTACTTGTTTTTCTTCTCCTGAATGCTAACTGTGGATCTCCCACACTTTACCCTTCTAAGTACAGTGGGTTCTCCATAAGTAATAATCCCTTTAAACAGAATTATAGAATTTTTTGGGTTGGGAGAGACCTCAAAGATCACTTAGTTCCAAGTCCCCTGCCATGGGCAGAGATAACTTTCACCATACCAGGTTGTTCAAAGCCCCATCCAACTTGGCCTTGAACACCTCCAGGGATGGGACACCACAACCTCTCTGGGCAACCTGTTCCAGTACCTCATCATAAGGAATATCTTCATAATATCTAATCCAAACCTACATTTTTTCAGGTTGAAATGATTCCACTTGTCATTACTTGGGCTTGTAAATGGTCCCCCTCTCCATATTACTTGTAGGCTCCCTTCAGGTACTGGAAGGCCACAATTAAGTTATCCCAAAGCTTTCTCTTCTCCAGGCTGAGCAATCCCAACTCTTTCAGCCTTTCCTCGTAGGAGAGGTGTTCAATCCTTCTAATCACCTTAGGGTCCTTCCACTGAGCACACTCCAACAGGTCAGCATTCTTCCTGTGGTGGGGACTCTGAAGCTGGGTGCAGCACTGCAAGTGAGGTCTCACAAGAGCAGAACAGAGGGGCAGAATCACCTCCACTGACCTGCTGGCCACACTGCTTTGGATGCAGCCCAAGATATGGTTGGCTGCCAGAGAACATGAGACGAAACCCATGTTCAGAAACCCACATGTTAAACAGGAAAAACTGATGAAGAAACTATGAGACTCAATGCCCTATAAATCATGTTTCAGAAAAAAAAGAGAAGATGCATTTGAAGAATAGCTCACTTTCTACCACTTTCTCCCTTGCACCTTGCCTCCTACTGTTCCTTATTAAACTCTCCTCTTATAGACAGTAACCATATTCAGCCTAAGAAAGTTGATTTGGTTTGGAATTTGGATCTCTAAAAGCAAAACCATTATTTTCTATTACCCTTTAGTTATTCACATAGGTTTTATAGGCATACTCTGCTGCAATCATTACCACATAAACTCCATAAATGAGTAGTATTTACAATACTAATTGATATTTGTGATATTTGTATTTTCATTTATGCAGATTTTATTACTACCATTTTTATTTATGCAGATTTTGTAATTTAAAAAATAATTACAGCCTAGTGTTTATTCCACTTGCAGAAGGACTGTAAGAGCTACACAATTAATATTTTATTTTTCAATGGTAATTTTTTCAGCATTCCTTTGCATCAACCAAACAAGACAATGTGCATCTTCCCAGCTCTGAACATCCAGCAGGAAAATGCAAGTTTTTACCTTCCTTCTAAAAGACCCTCAAAAATACAGCACTAGTATTTACTTACACACCTTATATGAGCATTTGCAACACATCACACTACAGTTCTACTGTCTCTGCAAAAATACACCATATGAGCCTAATAAATTGGCTGCCCCAAATTCCCATGCATCTCCTGAAACAGAAATCCTGACATTTATCTAAGACAGGCTATATACATCACCAGGTCTCAGTAGGATCTGCCCTGCTGTTCAGTAGTAACTGGAACTCATTCTGCTTCTATGTTGTTCAACAAAAAAAACAAAGGAATATTTGAATCTCAAAGCCATCATAATCCAAATCAAATTTCCCTGTTACCTCATGGGTTCTTATTTTAATTTTCCAGACAGATTAATTGGCAGCCCCAGTGCAGCAGCATGTTTAATCTATTTTTACAGATTTTAAGATACAGAACATCTTTGACTTTCAAATTAGTTTGGGACTTGCAAATCTTTCTCTCCCTGCTTTATTCTGACAGCTGATATAAAATGGGACATTAAAATGAACTACATCAAAACTTGTAGGTCATTTTCCAAGGGGTATCCCTGAGCTTGGAAATAGTATTCATTCTCCTAGACACATAGCTCAATGTTCTGTTCAAGAAATAAAGGTTACCTCAACTTTTTTCTAGAGGTTGATTTAGATGCTGTCTTGGTGAGACAAACTGGTTTCATTATGCTTCTCTGCAGAATGCAGCAAACTGGACCCACAGAAAAGGCACACCAAACTGGAAGTCTTTCCTTGTTTGCAAAATAACAATGAAGTACTTGCAGCCTTCTGAAATCTCAGAGAATGACAGAATGGTTGAAGCTGGAAGAGACCTCTAGAGGTCATCTGCTGCAAACCCCTGCTCAAGCAGGCTGCCCAGGACCATGTCCACACAGGGTCTGATCATGACTAAAGATGAAGATTCCACAGCCTTGCCTTTTGGCAATCTGTGCCAGTGCTCTGTCAACTTTATGATAAAATGCATTTTTTCCTCATGTTCAAAGGAAACCTCCTTTGTTGTATTGAAAAGATCTCATCTCAATACTTTCGAGGAATGGAGCCTGGCATTAAACTTCAGATGTGCCTGTTGCTATGGATGTTTGGGGAGCTGGCTCATGGCTGAACCTGGTCACCATCACCACACCTGCTCACCCTACTTGGCTACTGTGGAAGTGTGCCCTTCCTGGCAAGATCCTGTGCCCATCAGTCATGCTGTCATCTGATCTTCCCATTTGTCACTGAATTTTGCTGCCCCATCTCTCGGCTGAATGACACAGGGTAATAACAATAGGCTGTGGAATTTATAGAATAGAAAAAAGCCAGATACTCACACAGTGAAGGAATCAGGGGGAGCCGAGACTCTCCTCAGGTCAGCAGACTGCACTTTATGGATACTATAGGGCAGCAGGAAATGAGTGGCCGGGAGAAAAACAGCACATGGTGAGGACAGACAAGGAAAAAAGGTGAGAGAGAGAGAGAGAGAGAGAGAAGGAGCGGAAGAGAAGAAAGAAAGAGAAAGACACACAACATTTAAACAGAAACAAAAGGAATGTGTCACATAAAAGTTGAATGAAGGGACATGCAGAGCTCTGAGTTCACACCAGGAAGCCAAGAGCAACTGAAGACATGCAAATGGAGAAAATCACTGCTATGTGCCACACAGGAGCTTTCTAACGACACAAGTGAGGACCAGTGACAAGCTGGCACATAAGTGTACAAGGAAGACAAGGGACCCCCAAATTTCTTCCACAGGCACTGAAAAATTTCAAAGCAACAGACTTGGAAGCAGGTCCAGAAATGCAAACAAACATTGAAGCTGAGATCCAGATGGAAGGAATTGTCTCCAAGGGCTGACCATCTCTAATTACTGTTTAAGAAAAAAATACTCTTACTGAAGATTTTGTATCCACAATGACAAGTTGCTGTTTCCATTCCTCTTTCTCATAACTTAGGAAAACTTGTATTTTATACGTAGTGACTTGCAATATTAATTCGCCTGCTTTATATTAAGTGGTTTTATTCAAATTATCCCTTTCTATTTCTTGAATGTATCAAATACGTTTTATCTAAAAGCTCTTCCCTCTTCTTTCTCTTCCATTACACAGGATGCTCTTCCTCAATCCAAACTAAAAGTCAGTGAGAGCAAAATACATTTTGCAATTCAGAAAGTGTTCATTAACTGAAACTTACTGGGGAGTATACTATGCAGGAGTTTCTAATCAGAAAATTATTCCTGGAAAAGCTAAACCACGGTTTGTCTTCTTATTCCCCATAATGTTTGGTATAGCTCACAGCCACATTCTTGGCTTGGTCACAGAAAACCAAGCTATGTGTTGTCTCTTTCACATGCTATGGTGATCAATAGTGGAGAACAGGAATGAGAACTTAGCCAACAAGTGTTCAAAAGAGAACAAAAAAAAACACCCACAGAGGATTGGGACAAAAAAAAAAAATACAGAAACAGTGTAAAGCTTCTTCAATTAAGGTTCTACTCAACCCCACTTCTTATCTGGCAACAATATCAAAGCTGGCAATATAACAACTCTGCATTTCTGTGACCAAGATAATTTTCGAATTGCTTTCCTAGTAAGGAGCTCAAGAAGGGCCGTCTAGTAATTAAGGACAGCTCCAACCCTACTGACTTATCTCACACATCTAACATTCAGATGATAGTCATAAAAAAACCTCTTAATCTATCATGTTCAATCTAATACAAGGCTTTCTGGGAGATTCCAACAGAGCAAGGAGTTATATCCTAGAGATCAGGTTAAGAAAAATAAATAAGCATATTTAATTACAAATTTCTTCACTTGTGCAATACTACCAATTAGCATCATATTGAACAAACTCCTTACAACACTAATATGCTTCCTAGATTTTAACCTTTAACAAGTCATTTACATTTTATCACATTAGAAGATTCAAGACCTCTCTCCTTCCTTTTAAACACCTCAGAGTGAAGTACATACACAGATATATATATAGAAATAGATGTAAATATATACACACAGTTTCTGATATGTGAAGCTGCGACTACAGTTCCTGACAGATCATTTGCATTTTCCCAAGACACAGATCTGCAGAAAAATACCTCAGCCAAATCAAAGGACTCTGACAGCAATTTAGTGTACCATGGCACATTTAAATCAAGCTAAACCATGAAGAATATCCCCTTGACAATTGGCATATACTATCTGTATTTCCCTACCACAGTTTAAATTCAGATCTAAAAATCCATACCTAACCATGCTAATTATTGGTTTGAAATACCATGAATTCTTTTTTAAAATTTGCATTAGCCTCCTTCAGAGTAGAAAAAGATGTCCCAGTATTGCTCTTTGTTTTAGTCTAGCTTTCACTAATGATTGAGGAATGAGGAGTTGTGAAATTGGGATTTGCTGTCTATAGGTAAGAATCTTCTATTCTCTGCTCAAGAAAGATGAGTACACCTTATGTATTTTCCAGGCAAATAGAAATTGCACATTAGAGAAACAGGCTTCTACTGCAACTTAAGGCATTAGTCACAGTAAGAGAATAGAGAGCTAAATTAAACAGGAACATGTTGAAAGTAACCAGGGTGGCTTTGATTACATTAATAGATTGACAGGGGATTACAAAAAACTCTTAAGGGCTGGAGTCCAAGTTTAAAGTAAAGGAGTATTTTTCTCTAGATATACAGCTGTAAGGCACACAACTTTTAAGACAGCTGGAGAGAAAAGGTGTGCCTAACATCTTGTCCTTTTTTTTCCCATTATATGAGTTAGTCTATTGAAAGGTATTACATCTCTTTACAGAACCTGCCTCACCATTACAATTGCAACAGAAAAATTCCCCACCCATTTCCACTGAAATATCAAAGCCTCGGTTTGAATCTCTAAAAAATAATCTAAATTATTCTATTGGATGGTCATTTCCATAGGTCAAAATTTGACTATTTAGGTTTCTTTTCATTAAAATATATCTACAGTATTATATTACATTATATATTACAGCTTGTAAAGAAAGCTTAATCATGAAAAGGAATGTGTATTTCGCTTCACTATCTACTAGTTTCTAATCTTCTTAGCTTCTCTCTAGTCATATTTACAATAGTCATTTCTCGTTTGAGTTTCTATACTGGAGAAGTATTTCCTACAAAGTACAAACAGTTCTTTCAGGACATTCAAATCTTTCTCCATAAACTCTGCCAGGCAGCATGTGCTCACAACAGAGACTGAAATATGTCCTGATTAGCTCTTGATTGTGGCAATTTCTTACGGGGTCTTCAGTGCAGCTTAAAAAGCAGATCAATAAAGCTGAGAAACTGAATCAAAAAAACTTCAAGGGCAAATGGCATACATATGCAGAACCATCAGAAGCCAGGGGCACACTGCCAAGCCTGCAGAAATCTCTCTAAATAAAGAAATACATAACAGAAAAATACAACACCAGTCTAAAAGCAAGACAGGAGTAACTCAGAAGATAAAGAGTAAAAGAAAGTCAGATAAGTATTTACAAAAGAGTGAAAAGGGACTTCAGAATATGTGATTTTTTTTAAAATTTATTTTTCAAACGCACTGCAAGTCCAGTACATGCAAAATCCATGACGGAATATGCTGCCCCACACGGGCCTCCCGCCGTTAGGACATGCACATATGCAACTCACTCATTCAGCAAAGGCATAGACGTTCTCCTCTTGCTTTTCTGCACCATGTTGGCTTGGTTCCTTAAGGAGATCCGGATGAGGGAGGGAGCCAACCGACAGGGTTCGCCATCCACTTGCATGGGGATAGACTTGTACGTCAAAAGCGTCACCTCCCGGCACTGGTGCAACCTCTCTCCGTGACCACCCACCTGGAGAGCAGCCTGCAAAAAACAAACAAACCAAAACCACAAACAAACACCACACCAAGCAGGGAAAAGAAAAGATACCTCAGAACAGAGATAGCTGAGGCAATTAACAAACCCAAAATGCCACTTTGCTGACAGCATTCATTACACAGTGAGCCACACCTAAGCTATCCTAAAAGAGCACAATAAAAGCATTTTCACCCCAAAACTGCAAAGCAATACTTAAAATTTCCTAAAGAGGAGTAATGAGCAACAAGCAGATATCTAGCCACATGCATTATAGGATTCATCATCTATATATACACACGTGCATACACAAATTAATAATTGTGTTCATTCTTGAAGTTTTCAATTTGTTTTGGTTGGTTTGTTTTTACAATAACAGTAATGCTAATAATTATTTGCTCTTTAAAACAACATCCTTAATTAGATACATCTGCAAGGCAGAAAAATTATTTCCCCTTCCTGAACAGAATAGTCCTTAAAGTGAATTAGATAAATTTTAATTTTTTATTATGAAAGCTTACACATCAAGTCAACCTCAACATTAGACAGGCTGAAAAGAGCAAGCAGAAGAACCTAGCTAAAACAATTAAAAAGCATGTCTAAGAATTCATTTCAAAGAAATTAAGCAAGGAAGACAATGAGCAGATCCTTCAGTTTCTAGACAGACATGTTTGGGCAGAAATGTAGTTTTTTTAATGAATATTACTATTATGTGACAATTAACTCTCATCTCTCAGATGCAGAAAAAATTTCTCATATTACTGCAATGCTTTCAGACAATAGCCTAAACACAAGTCAAGGCCTGTGCACTTAAAATTATGGATCAATTGACAGTATGATCAGTAATGTAGTAATGCTTTTTATAAAGTTTTTTCCCTTGGTTTCGCAGACCCACTTAGGTACAACAAGCACATTTGAGAGACATACAAGGCAAGTTTGGATTGTATCAATACAGTCTAGGGTTACAATCGTTCTTCAGCATCTCAACCAAAGTACACCTGTAGACCTGCAGTTGTCAACCAGGCTTTCTTTAAGGAGAAACTGCAGCTCAAAGGCCCTACTTAAATTCAACCCCAAGTGAAATTGTTGGCAGATTTTGAGATCTATCTAGACACTTCTATTGACTAGAACTGTGTTTGTGGCAAACACAAAAAAAACCAAAACTCTTCTGACTGGAAACTGTCAGTTTCTACATGTTAAAGAGAATTTTGACAGCATTTTCAAAAACATGCCCTAAACTCTTCACATTTATTCCACCAGATCTACTAGGCTAGTACTGTGTCCAGTTCTGGTCCCTCAGTTTGGGAAGGATGTTGAGATGCCTGAGCACGTCCAGAGGAGGCAACGAGGCTGGTGAGGGGCTGGGAACACAAACCCTGTGAGGAATGGCTGAGGGAGCTGGGGTTGTTTAGCCTGGAGAAAAGGAGACTCAAAGGTGACCTTATCACACTCTACAACCTCTTGAGAGGTGGCTGTAGGCAGGTGGGGTCAGTCTCTTTCTCCAGGCAGCAACTGATAGAACAAGAGGACACAGTCTCAAGGTGCACCAAGGGAAATATAGTTTGGATATTAGGAAATTTTTTTTTACAGAAAGGGTGATAAAGTCCAGGAATGGTCTGCCTGGGGAGGTGATGGAGACACCATCTCTGGATGTGTTTACAAAAAGACTGGATGTGGCATTCAGTGCCATGGTTTAGCTGAGGTGTTAGGGCTAGGTTTGTCTTGATGATCTGAATGTCTCTTCCAACCCAGTCATTCTGCAAAATGGACCCATCAGAAAAAAAAAAAAAAAAGAAATCAAAGAAAAAGAAAAAAGGGCAGGAAAGTATCCTTAACACAGACAAACTTTTAAAGGAGAGATTGACCAAGACTGCCTTTTGCTTAATTTGAAGATTAGATTTGCTTGAGTTTCTCTTTGAGGAGACAAATACCCATTATTGTGGGCATTTACTGAAAGTGATACAGACTGAGGGCAGGTCACACAACAAGACAGTTCAGCTAAAACAGGCTTATCCATCTATGTTTTAAACTAGCTTACATGAGACAGCAATGACAAAGGCCTGTGGGTATGGAGCTATGTGTGAGCTATAAAAACTTGCCAGGAAGTCCAGTTATGGGCCTTTTGCTGGCCACACTAAGTCCAAGCTGCAGTGCCTTAGGTAGCATGGGGATAATTGTCAGCTCTGGCTTCATTTAACCACCCCCTGAAGACACTGTCACAGTGTTTGACCACTGTCACAGCAGGACACAAACAGGTATTTACAGAGAAATTGCTTTTATAGTAGCTCAGTTTTAGTTCACTTTAAGGACAGCATTGAAAGAAAATGCACTGACAAATTAAAATCATTGGCTGAATTTCCTTTTCCTAGCAGAATAAAGAGAAGAGATATAATTCAGAAAAGAATACTAATAAAATTTTCCACAGCCATTTCTAAAGTACCTCAAGATTTTTGGTGAGCGTATGGAAACTGTATGTCCATAAAACTTTATATAATATTTCACATTTATATACCAGCTATACCTAAAAATAGACTTTAATGCCATAGATTGAAATATACAAGAGTTAAAAAGAAAAGCGTGTGTTTATTTGATCATAGAGCATGCCCACAGCAAAATCATGAATTCATGCTCTTATCATACTGTAATAATCTTGCCATTTGACTTTGTAGCATTGCATATGCAAATCAGCCAAGTAATACTTTTTATTATTAAATAACATTAAATAGCATTTCTCTTAAAATAACAATTGGACCCTGCCATTTAACAGCAGAGCATGCTTTGGCCTTATCTGACTATGGGGAAACACATTTGCTCTTCAGTAACAGGGAATATTTTGCACTCTGCAGTGCTGCCCATGGAGTTCACCCGGCCTGGCAGCACCCCCATGTACTCACCAGCGAGGCCATGGTGAACCCAATGACTTCAATGTAGCCATCGTCATGACGCTGGGGCTCAAAGTCTCTGTGATCACCAGGGTTCCCCCAAGGCATTGTGCCAGCACAGTACCTACAGAGAGAGGTTTGGAGAGTGAGCCAGAGAAAGCAGCCTGCCCTGATGGGTCCTGACTAGTAGCCTTTTGGCCTGCTCTTTTTTCTCCCAAGCTGATACAACACTCTCAGATATATTCACCATAAACTTTATCAGGTTCCTCTCTGAGAGGAAAATGGGGAAACACTAGGAAATAGGTCATAGAGCAGCAGTGCTCTTTTCTCCCTATTTGCTTTGATTCCTGCTGGTGAGCTGTTGTGCCATAAAGCTGTTTTGGCCCTCTTTCCTCTCTCCCTGCTAGCTCAGCGGTTCTAACAGCATAAGGAATGCAAAATGCTGCATAGCTTGCGGAGGCTGGAAGACATAAGAAGCAGGAACAGATACAGCTGTGGCATCTCTCTTTTCCACCATCAAAGAATAGATGTGAAAGTGATCTCAAAGTGATAGAGGTGGGAACTTTGGAGAGGTAACAGCAAGTAGAAGTTTTCAGTGCAGGACTCAAAAGATGAAGTGTTTGGGACTGCCTGTGGAGCAAAGTAGGAGGTTGTCTAAAGCAATGGTCTCCAAAGTGGGGCATGCAAGAAAAATCCACAACTGACAAGACAAGTAGAGTGCATGAAGAAAAAAATTATTTTTACCTTCAATAAGAAAGCAAACATTAAAATAAGTGTTTGTCTCATCTTTATGACATTCGTTCTTAATTCATATTTGTGTATGCTTTATATTGCTTGTAATACTAGTATAAAGGTACATGTATATGATTTATAAATATATTGGGGTGGTGCTTAAAAGCTTTTTACTGATAGAAATGTACAATCAAATTAAGTTTGGAGACTACTGTCCTAGAGAGCCGGAGATTAACAACTTTTGATAATTCAGTTATATTTTCATTATATGTTTTTATATTTTTATTAAGGACACCTCGTAACATGTTAAAAACTATGTCTTCTTTCAGCAGTCTCATTCCTTTACTGGTAAAATATTTATCCTTCCCCTCTCTCCATTTCTGTCCCCTCCTGCCCCTTTCCTCTTTTTCACACTTTGATTCTAATTAAGCAAAAGACCATGTATCTGTCTCTTACTAACTTGTTTGCAGGTTAGATGTACAGCTTTTCAAAGTTTGTTTGTTAAGCATTTCTACTGTCTTAGGATATTCAACTTTTTAAAGAACAGTTTTGCTGCACCCTAAACTCTGATGCCATTCTGCATAAATCATTAACAGCATTATAAGAAGCCAGCTCTCAATAAGGTAGCCCAGAACCAAAATGCTTCCTGCACATTCACCCAGCCTAGGACAACTAGTAGGTGCCTTTTGAAAACTATTGTTATTTTTCTTGTATAACATCAAAAGACTGTCTTGAGCTTACCTGGGTATGTTTAAAAACACTATACACTGGAACTTCAGCTCCTGGATCTTTGGAGTCAGGTCTGTACCATCACACTACAAAGCCAAAGTGACAGAGCACAGAGAAATTGCTGAATGGAGCCACAGACAAGAGAAGTGTTGCTGCTTTGTAGCAACTTTCCCAAGACTTTCCTTGGAAATGTCATGCTCAAAACTGAAAAGTAACAGAGCCATTAAACTCTCACCTCACTCTCTCTCCAAACTTCCACCCCCTTCCCACAATACTATGACACAATTTCTTATACCTACCACAACTTTAACATGCTTGGATAAATCTCTTGAGCTTCTTTGCAGAAAGTCTGTAAAGGCCGCCTGCAACAGAAGTAAGTGCAGGAATTAGCAACACTTCCCCTCTTTTTTTCTCCCAAGTTCTTATCCCTCCACAGGGCTAATTACCAAAATGACATCCTTTGGCTAAACTTACTCTCCCAGAAAATGTGACTTGATTTTATTGTTCTAAATTGTGATACTTCTTCTTTTTGGAGCTTAACTGAAAAAAAGTCCTTGGACACGCAAGTGCAATGGTATCCTGGACCATTAAGCACAAAGTCTTGCTCACATATTTGTTTCCATGTTTAAGGCACATGGGTACAGTGAGTGTCATCATCCAGAAATACATTATATGTCATTTATTATCAAACTGATGTTTGCTCTTAATGGCTTCAGAATAAAGTGTTGTTCATTTGCCTCTTGAATGCACAAGTGGGTATTTATATGTGTATATTCACCCATCATTAATTACTCCAAAGATCAAATTTGTGCCTGTTTTATGATCCTACATCTGAGACTGTTCCTCACAGCTACAAAATACAGGCCAAAACTTTGGGAATTCTTCTAGGAAAGTCAGTATCAATGCAGTTCCTAAACCCTGAGAGAAGCGGAGCAGTGCCTTGAGAAGCTTATGAGCCAGAAGCAGAGGGACCAAGATATGACCAGGACTGTGTCAAAGGTGTGGTACTTTTCTCATCTGCTCAGCTCTGTACAACAGTACCAGGCTCTTTTCTACAGACACCTGTGTGTGGCACTGCCAGAAACAGCACGTGTGCACTTGAAGTTGTAACAGGCAAAATGAACTGGCATGAGCTCCTGATGTGAGCAAGTGAGGAGGAAGATAATTAAGAAGACATTCAAGCAACTAAGTTAACATCATTCTGTAAGACAAATCTGTACTTACCCCTGCATAAAACATTTTATTTCTAAATCGGCTGTTGAATTTCTCTGGATTTGCTTCTGTGAAAGGATGAAAAATAAAAATATGAACACTCTAATAAAACAAGTAGACTTCATTATACCTTCACATTCCCTGCCAGCACTACAGTGCTTTCAGTGTATCACTCATCGAAAATATTAACATTAAAATGTTTTCCATGTGTGAGTCCCCCATCTGTGCCTTTCTCTGCTATCAGATTTCAAACATTCATATTGAATCCTTCCCTTTTCTCATAGAGAGTGGAAATAGAGGGCAACAGGAGCAAAGAGGTAACAAGAATTCAATCAGTTAATTCAACACCTCTCAGATTATTCATCTTATGATCCCTCAATAGAATTTGTAAAACTTCTGTTTCTAACAATGGAGAACAAATCTATAAGAATTATTAGAAATTTATGAAACAATAACCCATGCTTTGAACCAGGAGTAAAGCATTAACAAATTGTAAGACTAAACAGCCCCTAAATTCTGATGTGTTAAAGAGTTACTAAGGAATAGACATTTCTACCCAAAGATCTCTGCAGGAAAAAAAAAAATTAGTTACTCTAAAACCTATTTAGAAAGTCATTTAATTTTGATTAGGCTCCAAGCAATGGAGAATTTTAAGTCTAGTAGTAATGTACATCAAATGGTTAATTATTCTCATGGTTAATGTAAATGTGGCCATTTCCAATCTTGAAATTTTCAGTCTTCAACAGCCAGCTGCTAAATCTTGTTATGCTTCTCTGTCAGATTAAAGAGCCTTCAACTATCAGATATCTTCTCCTTGAGTAAATACATATAGGCAGTGATTAAATAGCCTCTGAACCTTCTTTCCAATAAGTTAAATGGAATTCCCTTTATCTCCCAATATAAGGCACATTTCCCAGAATACAGCTCATTCTTGAGCCTTCTTGGAAACTGCTTTCCTTTTTTGGCACCTAGAGATTCCAGAAGCAGCCCTTCTGACCCTGTACTCAGTGCCAACTACTCATGCTGGTTCATTGATGCTTTAGTGAAAACATCAAACTACCAAGGCAGTCCTTCTGGCTAAAGCATCACATTAGTGTGGACACATCCAAATTACCTCTCAAATGACCACTTAAAACAATACTTCTAGTTCTCTTGAAAGAGAACTGCATCTCACAAAATAAGGCTCCATTTTGTAAGAATGAGCTGCTTGAGGTTTCTTATCTGCTTGTTGGCTCAGTTAATATATCTGCTGCTATGTCACAGGTGATTCAAGCTCAGTCAGGGCCACTTCTACTTCAAACAATTAATTTAATTTCATAAGTCAATCTCATCTCACATATTGAGCTCACAGCTCTTTTCAAAGAGTCTCAACATCCCATGCTAAGCAGCAGAAGGCTTCTGAAGGCTTGGTGCCTGCACTGCACATTCTCTCATGTGAATATCCCCAATGGTTTCAGAAAGCAGACACCACAGCACTGGACCTTACATGGATCTAATGACAAATACTCCCTCAACCTACTGGTCCTACTTCTGCCAACACAGATGAGCACGGGTAGGGAGGAAGGACTCTGTGATTTTAATATAGAGCCTTAAGTTGATTAGAGTGTAACTTTGATTGTAGAAGTAAATTATTGAGTGCATATCCAAGGCTCACTCCATCCTCACCATTCCTAAACCATCAAGGAAGTAGAAATAGAATGTATTCAACTCTCTGTGTGCAGTGGCGGGTTTTGTGCAAATGAGCAGTCCTGCACAGCTGAGGGACCAAACAGCACGTCAGCAGGGATAAAGTAAATTGCATCTTCCATGCTCTACCAAAGCATAAGGATACCAATGGAGGAAGCTGGAAAGAGCCACTACCCAAAACACTTCCTAAAGAAGCAGAGCTAAATGCATTAGCCTTGGATCCAGCCCTCAAGTCTCAATCTGATTAGTCACAAGAAAAGTGTAGAGGTTGCCATGGAAAAGGCCACATTAATATGTAGGATCCTCTGAGACACTGCAATCACTGCTTATTCTAAATATAACAGCTGACCAATCTCTACTGCATAAAGTGTCCTGCTAGGCTGAGAGTCCTTATCAATTTATCTTATTTTGGTTTGCAGGCATGTTATTCATTTGTTTTAATACTATATGTGATTAAATTGTTCCACATAAGCAAATGCATACAGCCACTTACCTCAAGAGCACAAATGCTATAGCTACCAAAGTACTTTACATTTTGCTACTGCTGCTAAGAATTTCTCTGGATTGTCGTAAGTGCTAAATAAGATCATAATCTGCTCTGCTTTGCTTAATTCAGTGAGCCAGGGATACTTCGGGCTGGAAGGAGCCTTTAAGGTCCACCTAGTCCAACCCCCTGCAATAGGCAGGGACATCTTCACCTAGATCAGATTGCTCAGAGCTTCATTCCACCCAATTCTGAACATTTCCAGGGATGGGGCATCTACCACCTCTCTGGGAAACCTGTGCCAATGTTTTACCACCCTCATTGTTAAAGACTTCTTCCTCACATCTAGTCCAAATTTACACTCATTTTGCTTAAAACCAATATCCATTGTCCTATTGAAACAGGACCTATTTTTCTTATAAATCCCCTTCAAGTATTGAAAGGCTATAATAAGTGCTCCCAGGAACCTTTTCTTCCCCAGGAAAATTCCACATGAAAAAGAATACAACCCACACATCAGCAACACCTCCAAGGCCATAAACTTTCCTCCTGTAAAATACATAGAATTCATTTCATATATTTTAGCATTTGAGACGACAAGGATGACACCAGCAGTGCAGACATGTGCTGCAAGAAACTCTCCTGGCCGTGCATACTCAGACACACAGCTTGCTCTGCCAAGTGCTTTTTCACCCATGTAAATTTTTAAAACACTGGCATGTCTGGAATAACATTCATTCTTTATAGGGCTCCATAACTTCATTATTAAGTAATGCCTCCATTAAATGAGAAAGTAGCCATGCATTTAATCTATACAGTATATTCACAGTCACATTAGCAATGCAGAGTGATATGCACTCATAAAAAAATGCATACAGCTGTCATAATTTCATTCCTGTGCCCTTTTGTGGCCCCTCATTATTATTCCTAAAGCTTGAAGCAGTCTTAAACATCATAAAATATGCATTAGCTCATTCCATCATGTATCCTGCTCTTTATTTAGCTTGGCATTAAAGTGCTATCTTTTCATCTTGAAACGACACCCTAATAGTATGACAGTGAATTTAAGGAAGGCTGTGCTTCAGAAAAAATACCTGTGCAAGAAGCTGGAATGCCCAAAAGCCAAAGGCAGACACTTGGACAAGGTTTGTTTCTACAAGCACACCTGCCTAAACCATATAAATAGAACCATTCATATCAGTGCAAAGCTGTCCATATCAGCCCTGTCACAGGTCAGCCTGTACAGGGTGTCATAACTGCCACAGGCAAGGAGAAGCACAAGGTGCCACAACTGCTCAAATTCCTGACATTAAACCTCTTAACTTGCAGAGAGACAGTCTGGGTCTGTACCAAGTCCAGGGACATTATGGTATACTGATCCATAGGTAACAGCTGTTCAGCTTGAAAGCACAGTTATATTCCTGCCACTTCCAGTCTCATGCTTCCAGCCCAGTCTCATGGCTCCTCTCTTGCCTCCATTTCCACACTCACACCTGACTCCTTCGCAAGTCACCTATCATTTCCTTTGCAAGATCTAATACTTTGGAACCTCTAAAGTACATTACAGTCTTCTTAGTAATTTTTTTTCACTTCTTAATCATGAAGTCCTTTGGAAACTCATGATACAATCACTTTTCTTTTTGTATGTATCTTAAGGTTTTATGTTCCAGCTTTACTTCTGAATGATAAGAGCAAGATGTTAAATCCAACTCTATTTCTAATTAAGAAAGTAACTGCCCATCCACAAGGCTAAGGAAATAAAAAGTTCCTATTACCTCTGGATTCATGGAACTCCAGCGTAACATGGGCATCAAATCCAAGACTGAAGTAATTATTGAAGACATTGAGGGGAAGCTGTAATTAGATAGTAAAAAGAGACATAAAAACAACATGAATGGCACATTTCTCCACACGCCAGGGTTTAACTATTTAAACTTGGCTCATCATGAAAACCTACTAAGAACAAAGTGGAACATATCAGGGAAATGTAAGCAGAAGGTTGCCCTGAAGGTTAGTAATGGCTTGTGGAAAATGATCAGATCCAAGAGCCCAAAGAACACAAATAGACCTCTAGTGCTTTATGATCGTATATGTGTCTTTGTTAACACATCAAAGGGTTCCTTATGTTGTCATTTAGATTTCCCATAAGGCTGCACCACTTAACGTATCACCAACACAAAGGTTTTCAAAGATTTTGCTGGCTCTTCAAGCTCAGCATGGCAAATGAAACTCCAGCTGTGTTCTTCTCGCTTCATATATAACCAGGAGCAATCCAAGTCCCAGAGAAGAAGCCCTAATCCTACTGAGGATGCATGAGGCAGGCAAGCATACATCTGGCCTCTTCATTGTTTCACACATCCAGCAGGGCTGTAGAGAGGCAACTGTAACATCCAGTAGATAAACTGGAAATTATAACTGAGAAGAGGAAAATGGTTCACAGAATAGGGAGGGTTTTAAATTTTGTAGTATTTTCAACATCTCCATTCCAAATGATACATTACTATGTGATTCCCTCACAAAAATTTTCCCATTCTTCAGATACCAAGATACACTAGTAGATATTACAGGGAGATCCACATATGAAGAAGTTAAATACAAAAGTACACTACACCTTCCTGTAAAGCAGGAAACAGCTGGTACCCATTAGAAAAATCCTAAGGAATAAAATTTTACATTCTGCTTTTAGATTTGTCTAATTGGGGAATGGATAACAGAGGCAGGGTTTCTTTTCCTGCAACTAGAGAAAAACAACCATGACCTTTCTGATAAAATTCCAGGGATTTTTTTCCAGGATTGAATCTTTGACATAAATGTTCATTGCCAGGGATGTTTCAAACAAATAAATGCCTTTCACACAACTCTAGAATCACTGACACGTGAAAAGAATCAAAGGGAGAGATGCAAATAGAAAATTAAAAAGTTGCAGAACTCCCCACCCACACTGCTTCAAGTGTAACCCAGAGTGGTTCATAAGCATTCTATAGTTCCCATGGGAAAAAGCAGGCTCTAACCTTACGTGCCCCATCCTCCAGCTCATCCTGAGGCAAATCAGGGTTGCGCTCAACCTGAAGATTCCAGCGGTCCAGCTGGACAATGGTCCCATCTTCTACATGGCACAGGATCTTCGACACCGGCTCATCTGTGTAACCCTGACAGCAGAGTGACCAGAGTATCAGCCATGGATGGTGAAAACAAATCAAGTTACTCACCAATCACCTGACAGACTTTCCTCCTTTCCCAACATGCCTGAGACCCTCGATAAACTTTTGATCAAGCATTTTAACAAGCTACTATTGAGGTGCACAAGTCTAGGGCAGGCAAGGTAAGGCAATTCTAATCATATTTGCCTTTCCTGGAATAAATCCAGTGCTGTAGTAAGGGATAAACAAAGAGAAGCTTTAAATTATGCCTAAATTAGAAGTCTGTTTACTGTTCTTATTACTTGGCCTGAAATACCATATACATCTATGTATACTTTTATTGCAACATCATTAGTAATTCAAAATCTCAGACTGCAAATTGAAGCAAACTGTTCACCAGAGTGAAGCAGACTTTAGACACAGCCCTGCCTGCTATTTTAGCCAAAAGGAAGTTCCACCCCACACAACTAAACATGAGCAGCAAGCTGAGAACCCCCATGTAAGGGTACCCCAGCCAGTCCTTACCCCACCCCAGTTGAGGGTGCGGGCAAGGTCATTTCCAGTGCCAAGTGGAAGGACAGCCACAGGAGGTGGGGGGCTGAGTTGCAGCTCATCGAGGATGGACAGGATCCAGCCCACCTATAAAAAGGGAAATTAAGAGGACTGTCAGGAATATTAAAGGGAAAAAGACATACTTTGATCATATCATATTCTTTTTCACAGAGAAGATCAAGTAAAAGAAATTTAAAAATGAATGAAGAATAATATGGACAATTCAGGGTAAATTTATTTTTTAAATTACCATTATGTTGAAAGAAACTCAATCTTTGACAAACATCTGTGAAAGAAAATGAGACACATTAAGACAGCATGGTGTCTCAGAACTAATCCTGCCAAGCATGAACTTGCTCACAAGTCTCCCTTTCCCAGAGACCTGACTGCAGAATTATTTCACTCAGTACAAGGCATTATATCTATAGATATACAGTATACAGATACACATACACATCTACACATACATATCCAATAAAATAATAAAATACTAGACTAAGAGACAGACTAAGGTTCAGGGTTGGAGGCTTTGGATTAGAACAATGAATTTGTCTCTTTTCTATCCTAAGCTATTAGCTATTTCAGAGAGTATCTCTTCTATCTTTCTTCTGGACTACATAAATCTTACAAATAGAAATCCAGCCAGAAGGAACAAATTACTGTAAATTAGTTTGTTTTCATTAAATAGTAATTTTCAAAGGGGAGAAAGAATTGTTGCTAAAGATGTTATCAAACTTTTGGTGACTGAAATTCTTGTGCAGAAACAAAGGAACCTTTCTTAAACAACTTCTCACTTAAAAAAAAAAAAAAAAAAAAGTGAAGAACCTGTGCTGAATTTTTAGATAAAGAATTAATAAAAATTAACAGAAGATTTTTTTCCTGTTGCCAGTTTTCAAAGATGCAGTTTCTACTGCAAATGTAGACTGCAAATCATGACTACAGCTGGACTAAATTTGTCTTGCCCCAACTAATATTACTGTGACTTCAAATATACTCTCAATCCAAACCAGGATAGCACTGGAGCTTCACAAAAGGCACCCAGCATAACATGGCCATCAGGAAAAATAGCTGGAGTTTGAAGGACTGCAGAGGCATGGCCTGATAAATACAGAAACCACCACACTATTTACTATTCTGTGGGTTTTCTTTCTCCAAGTATCTTTAAAAATAAATTTAATTTTTCACAAATGGCATTTATCAGACAGCTATTTATCATAACCAATTGTCCAATTATTAAAGCATTCATCTGGGATGAGATCCCCTATTTGATTTCATTCTCTGACAACAGCCATCTCAAGTACTTACAGCTCTCATGACCTTGGATGTCACCAAAATTATTGAGGTCTTTTAAAGGGATTTTCAGAGGTAAGTAATCCTCTCTCTTTCAAAATATCTATACTTCTTCACTGATAACAGGAGACAGAATAAAAAGTCAAGATAACATCAGTAGGGCCAGGATTTCTTAAAGAAGTTGGTCATTGTCATTGCCACTGACTTAATCCACACGTCTGTACTTCAGCATCCACTGCTACAGGTAACATCACAATATCCACCACTTTGTAAATAATTTTAGCTGATGAACAGAAACTTCAAATTACTAATTTATAAGCACAACATTGCTATTTAACTTGAGGTCACTCCTAAACCTTGTACATTAGTTGCACAATCCAGAATGGCACAGGCTACCATTTCCCAAATGGTAAACAGAAAGCTCCTGACTGCTTTGAAAGCAAAGCTTTCCACTTCTGCCCCAGGAAGTAACAGCAAGCAGTGACAATGGAAAAGTTACAATAAGTTCTGATTCACCTCAATAATGAGAGGTAACATCTGGTCTCATTGCATATTCATTAAGTCCATTTCAGCCAGATTTTTCATTTCTGGATGTAACGGCTTTGGGAATAACTGGATATTAATTTGTTTCAAACTGAGCAGCAGCAAAGGTAACAGTGGAGTGCTGCTCATACTAATGAGAAGGTGCTGCCACCTCTCGCTCGCACAGTTCAGCAAAGGGAAGCAGGATGGTCCGACTCAATGTAGTTATATTCTTTTCTCTTTTAGTATCATCATGATTAAGTTTTTTCTTTCTTCCTCAGATAGGAAAGAAAACAGATGGAAACACTTTTTTCAGCTGATGCCTCCTCCTGCTAAAGGACTGCCTTTCATGTTTCTTAAGAAAAGCTCATCATTCAGTAGTAGTCATGTCTTACTTTCCCATGTACTAGTAATGCAGTACTCTTATCACTGATTCATTTTTTCAGTCTTGCAGGGGAAGCATTGATATTAATAACCTTGCTGCTGGGGTTTTAAAAGAACCCACAGAAGCTAAAAAATTCCCCCAGAAATTCAAGCAGAGATGAATTAAGAAAAGGGATTCAGCTGCCTACAAAATAAACCAACTGCCTTTCCATGCCCTAAATACCTACATAGATATGCTCTGTCCAATCACTGCTATTTGTGAATAGTAAAGCATTTTCCCTTACCATATTTACTGTTGAAATTGCCATCACATCCATGTTGGGGAACTGAGCCCCTTAGAAATTAAAGGTAAGTTTTTCAACTGCATGTAGCACTCAGTGGCATAGACTGAGATTTAAAATATTTTCAAGCACTGTAAAAAGAATGCAGTTATAATGACTCCATTGCTACTCATGACCTTTAGACCCTGAGCTGCAGAGTTTTTCTCCAAATGAAGGTGCCCAAATCCTTTAAAGGTTTGACCCCATTCACTTACCCAAGAAGAAAACACACAGAAACTCTGTCATAAAGAAAAGTACTGAACCTGGATCTGCCAGGATCTAGCAAGAGGAAGCAGAAATTAAGATTTAATGGCTGACAGACACTAACTTAACCTTCTAGAGCCTCAGATATAATGTAAATAAGTGAGAGGAGACCAGCAAAATTAGTCTTTCTCTCTTTTTAGCTGTACAAAATCTTTATGCATAAAGGGAAGACAGCTTTGGACATGAGAATCTGCCCCATATCTACACAGGCCAAGCCACACAGAAAATTGAAAAACAAATATTAGATTTCACAAGTACAAGGTGTGTTATCTTTCAGTGCCTCTGCAGGCAGTGTGAGGTAGGAAACCTTCCACCATGAGGAGTCTAATTACTTGGCCAAAGACCATCGGACTGCCAGGTCCCTGCCACCTACCGTCCCGTCCCCACCGCATGCCAGGATCCTCAGGTTTGGCACCTTTCTGTACAGCTCCAGCCTGCCCAGAGAGGGGAAGGGGGGGAAAGAAAGGGGAAACATGTAAGAAGAGTAATGCAGACATTTTTAATGCATTTTTCTGAGTGACAGTGTAACCACCACATACTGCATTTTCAAATATTCATTACTAAGAATATGAGTGGAGGTGGAAATGTAAAACCAATAGGATGTGAAATGGGGCCTTCCTCCATGTTAGGCAGCACCTCCTGACAAGTGTTTGATCAGTTTAGCATCTCCCCAGATTTTCATATTCCCTCTAGGGAGGTCAAAATCTTTCTTTTTTCTCTTACCCTAAAGCAAAAAAAATTAAACACTGAGGTTTTAAAACAATATTTAATGTTCTTCATCGTGATTTGTTGAGCTACCATCTCAGTCTTGTATAATGTGACAGCTTCTTCAACTAGTGACTGCATTTTAACACCACAGAAGGCAAGAATATGTAATAGAGTTCCTTCTCTGCATATGTGATCTAAATATCAACAGGAGAGACCAAAAAAAGCACCCACTGAAGTCCTGCTCCTTCAGTCACACCCTTCAGAAAGCCATAATGAAATATTTTCTGATGAAGGGGGGGACATTCACATGTAGAGGGCTGAGTGACCAGTGGACCTAACTCTCCTTTTCCCCATTATACAGCTCTGAAAAATGTATGTCTAACTTAAAGCTTCTAAACACTATGAGAGAACAGCAGTGCAGGTGTTTCTGCAGGAAAGTAATAAGCTTGGGTGCCTTGAATAGGAAACACTTAGACTGTTCTTCTACAGGCAAGTATTTGATTTTGCATTATTACTGTAAAATATTTACAAATACATACAAGGCATTTTTACAAAATGTGAAAGTAGTTCTGGGCAGAGGGTTAAGTAAAGCCGATATCCCCATGACCATAGAAGGATGGTTCTCAGCCCTTGGCAGCAAGAATTAGCCATTTAAAGAGAGGTACTCTCTCCCTTGGCTTGCACTTCAACACCTGGCTAAGCTGAGTTAGTTACTCAGAGAGCAGGGACAGTTGCACAGTGCTGTCGTGTGTCAGTCTGGAGGCAGCCTCACCCCATTAGAATGCTCATTCATTAGGGAATTGTCAGGCATTGGGATCCCAAGCAAGCCTTGGAGCCATCTGGACCTGGCTCTGTCTGGACATGGGGGCAGCTCCTGACCTCACAAAAGCCCTCACTGCAACCATTCCTCTTGCTACCAAAACCTGGATATGTTAACCTCACACAGTCACTAATCCAGCCAAACTAGATCTTTTCTGTTTTCCTGACCAGATCAGAAATAGGGTGCACAGCAATGAAGGCTCCAGTACTTACGCATCTCTTGGCCCTTCCTGAGAGAGATCAAAGACCTGGCGTGGATTCAAATACCACATAAACATTTGGAGAACCTTGGTGCCCTGACAAGGGAGAAAAATCAAAGGCAGGGAAGTTATGAGCAGTTTAATGATTATTGGAAATAACAGTGTGCATTATTCACTATATTTCAACTGCTGTTCTTTTTTTCTGTGCTTTATAAAGCAAACATAAAACAAGAAGATGAACTAGAAAGTGGCATAGCAAATGACTGTTCTGTAAAATAACAATCCAGGACAAGGTGCACATGCAGGCATATAGACCAATTCCAACAACACAGATCACTAATGATCCACAGGAACAGGCATTTGGGGTTCATCTCCCACAGCAACCTGTTCTCCTGCTTCTCACCACCTGCAACAAGAAGAAACCTCTGTTATCCCACCTCACCCTCAGCTATCCATGACAGAATGAAGTTGAACAAGATTGGAGCCAAAGTCCCCATCACATTGAGCACTGTGCTGCCCAATGTCCAAGCAATGGCAGTATTCTGGCCTCTGCCATCACCACGATAATCATTCATAATTGTATCCTCTACCATCTAATGAAGTCAAGGACTTTGTACAGCTGTCCTAATGGGCCCTCACTTGGTGCAGTGGGGCCAGCCCATCACCTAAAAGTATAATTTCTGTTTTCTTGAACTCTGGGGTTCATATTCCCACTCAAATTCCTTCCTTCACATTCTGCCCAGACACAAAGTGACAGGATCTCTTACTAGCAGCAGAGAGCTAAGAACTCTATGGGCTGAGCTTGCACTCTAATTTAAAGAATGCCTTTCAGACATGGCCTGAGGGTACACATCGGAAGTTTTCCATAGCTCTCCCTTCCTAGGGATGGCTCTTCTGCCTGACAGCTTCCCTGAAGAACCAAGAATTGCAGTCAAAGTACCTAGGGAAAGTTATAAGAAGAGAGAAAATAAATGTGATATTTGCCGTAAATATTCTTCCAGTCACAGCTGTGTGCAGTTCATAGAACTCTTGAACCAGAGGGAGATACAGAACTTCACGGTTTTCACTTCCAAATATCTCCTCCAATCTGTGTAAATATTTAGCATCTACAACAACATCCTATTGCAAGGAGTTTTTCACTGAACTACAGACTGTGAGAAGAACCAGCTTTTTCCTTTTGTTTTCAATCAGTCTAAACAGTTCAATTTTGTATCCTCCCTAATTCTAACAGAGGAGAAAATGAGCAGTGTCTATACTACTCCCCATGCTCTATAGGCCTCTGTTGTATCTTACACCAATCTTTTCTATTACCAGGCCCTGTTTTTCAAAAGGCACTCAATATCGAGATTCTTCAGTATTCAGAAAGTGGCAGAACCAGGAAAATATTCACTTGGGTAAGTATTCTTTCCAAGAATCTTAAGGAAGAAGTCTGCTGCATTTTAGTCACTGAAACTCGGTCTCCATGATACAGTAAAAGACCACTAATGATTTTTTTAGGTGCCATAGGAATATGCCATTTCAAATTCCATCATTTCAACAGCCTTTCCTAGCAAAGCTTAGTTTTTGCACTAAATCTAAAGCTTCACTGGAAACCTAAATTTTCTGTGGCAAGATGAAATCTTCTGAAAACCTCCAAACGATGATTTTAGATTCAAGAATCTGAAGATAGGAGTACAACCACTCAAATACTCAAACATCCATTCCATCCAACACTACTGAAGTAGAAAGGCCATTCCACAGCAAGGACCTCTACTTGAGGAAGGTCTTCAGGCTTCTTCAGGCATGGAGCCCATTCTATCTGACTGGCCAAGAAATAGTGTCATTTGCAGAAACCCTGATGTTAAACTTAAATGTTGCAATCCAGACTCAGCTGATACTCTTACCTGATTCCCTCCACTTTTTGGATTGACGAAAACCAGCAGTGGCTTCATGAGTGGAGAGGAGATAGGCTTTATCACAAAAGGCCGGCCTTTGTTATCCTGAGAAACAGAGGCAAGAAACAGCTTTAATACAAGTGATGTATGTTTCTTTGGCATAGCACACAGAGAAGACCCAACCTAGTTCTGGCAAAACTACCCCAGGTACTGGAAATAGTATAGCCATGTCAATGTGGTACCCAGCCAAGAGTAATTTATCCAGCTGAGATAACAAAATAAAATAGGAGGGGGAAAATATAATTTCAGGGTAGCACACAACTATTTCAAAATTCTTTCGAGATTATTTCTGACCTATTCCCTGCAATTATTCACACAACACAAATACTGTGTCAGGTGCAGTGTTATTTCTAATACAGATTATTTTTCCAAGGGAAAACAGAATGGGATAAGTTACTTATTCCATTAATTTCATCTAACAGACAAGTTGCATAAGCACTTATTTGCAAATAATCTGCTTTCAAATTCTTGGCCTTGCTGCCTTTCCACCTTTGAACAAATGCCACAGATCCAACATGACACATCAGTGAGAAAACTTCTTGCCTCCCTACTCCCTAGCCCCTGCAGGACACCTGAGAGCCCCATAATGAGGGCACTGTCCTGGGCTCTAACAGACAGAGATTTCATTTTCTGGGATCTCCAGAGGTCTTTCATGTCTTTCCATCTTTCAGGTCTGCAGTTCTCCTACCATGCAATAAAGGACTTGTGTCTGAGAGCCCTGGCTATGCAGGTGAGTCCACCTCCATCTCTCCCATGAGGCTGTTTGTCTATATAATTAATCCACTAGAAAGGATCTGGAAACAAGGTCTTCTATAAGACACATGGTAAATAAACCAATAGATCAATAAACCGTTTTCTCTCTCTGTGGTCCAATTTTAATACGAGATCCCCTGAAGAAGACATTCTAAAATGGATGACATCCGGACCACAGCCTTGCATCAGTGCACTCACCATGGGTTTCACAGCCTCAGTTTCACACACTGTTCTGCTTAGTGGAAAAAAGGGTGTGAGCTGTTTCTTACATACCAAGGGAATACTCTTTCATTAGGGTGCTGGTCCTTCTGGAGTCTGGTACATTGTTTCTTGAAAAAAATCAACCCAGAAAATAAAACTTTTCATACAAGTTTTGTCTCTTCTAACAACAAATTCAATATCACGGAATTTCCCAGGGGAAAAAATACATTAAACACTTCAGTGAAAAAAAGGAAAAAAAAACACCTAAAAACTTTTAAGTCTGTGTTTAGACATTTAAACAAAAGGAGCGTGATTTCCAAAGCACTTGAATACCTACTTCATTTCCTCTTTTGCTGGTTTTTCTTTTAAAGGACGTTCTCTTCTTTCGTCTTGTTGAAGTCTTTAAGGAGTTCTACATCAAAAGAAAAAAGAATACATGAAAAGCAAAACAAAATTTAGAAGACAGGCCCAGACAGAGCCCCTTACGAAGCTCTTCCATGCATGTCCACTTGGAGAATGATAAGAGTATCTGGCACATGCTCGAGATTTAAATTACATGCGCTGCATGCTTTACACTTCCACACCACCGTTTATGGAGAAAGCCACACACGGAGACCAGACTGGTGCTTTGGAACTGGAAACTTTCCCACGCTGTGAGGGGGGAAAAAAGATCAGATGCTCCCATAGACTCACATAACACCACATGTTGTACCTGCCAACCCTCCCAATAGGGGTAGGAGACGCCCGTTTCCCCTTCGGGGCTCCAGTCTCCTGCCCAATCAGGCTCGTCTCCTGGTATGGAGACCACCTGCATAAAGATGTAATAAAAAAACATGATAAATAAGATATTTTTCATGTTTTTTTGTTTGCTTTTTTTTTTTTTTTTTAAGGAAAGAAAACAACAAGTTTTAGCTCTGGCAACCATTATGACTCAACATAACGTAGGCCACCATGGCATATGATGCTGGCACTGTAGAGTCAGTTCTAGCCTAGCAAGAAATGTGTAATCATCTGCTAAGGAACAAACTGAATTGTTAATTTTTAAGGATTTAAGTAAAGAAGGTGTTTGTGGGGTGTTTTTTGTTGTGTTTTAAAATAACAGCATCGCTTAGCTACATAGAAAAAGCAATGTACCGGTGCTTGTATTTTTGCAAAACCTATTAAAATAGAACCTATGTCAAGGCTGTTCTCCAGAAAGATGACAATCTGCTCAGTGACACTGAGTAAAAAGGTCTTCTGGTGTGATAAGACCAGTCCAAAAAAGGGGAATTTTATTATATTTTTTTATTTCTTTTAATTCACTAATTGAAGTTATACCTGCAGGAAACCCTAACCATTTCCATAATTTAAATTTTGTCTTATGGGAAGTACTCAAAATATTTTTGCAGTATTTCAACTTCTAGTCTAACCCATCACCAGGAAACAAAGTAGCATGAGGCATTAGAAGAAAGTTCATCAATTATTTTTTTTCCCCTGGACATAAGAGAGAAAGCAAGATTCACTCAGCTCATCTGAAAGTTCATTTCTGTCCTGACTTTGATCAGAAGTGTACCACTAATAAAAGCCAACAAGCAGAGATCATCAAATCTATAAAAAATGATGTTTATTCTTAATCCTGCTCACTGTCCAAAAGCAACAGGAATAGCTACTAAGTTTTGTTTATTACACATCAACCACTTTCAGAATTTCAAGACTTGAGAATGACTCACCATAACACGAGTTAATGCTTCCACATCCCTGAGAAGAAAAACTAATAGCTATCTAACTGAAATACCTAAAGGCATTGTCCTCTATCACATAGACAAGAGAAGCCTGCCATAGAGGACAGGGTCCCAAGCTCTCAGCATTCCTGGAGAAGGAAACAGTCATGCATAATTGCTTACTGAAAATACTGAAGACAAGATAGCTCTGTAGAGCAATTTCACAAATTTGCCCTTTTAGACCATATTTTGAGAAACCACCTAAAAAAGTGTGCACAGGTTCACAATCTTCCCTACTCTGATACAAAGTGATCCTGAAAGCATGATAAACCATAAAGCCTGCACTGACTACCAAGTGCATCAGCAATCCCATCTGCAAGGTCTTGCATTGCCCTACCTCAGTAGTTACACTGACTGCAGGCAAAAGTCTTAACGTCACCAGAAAGTTATGGGGGCATTACATTCAAAGCTGCCTCCCCTGGTGGCCTTAGCCCAGTTCCTCAGGCATTCTCTGAAGGATTCTCCCTGGACTGGGGCAAAACACAGGTCAGAGAGAGGAGATCTAGTGTATCCATGCTCTTGTTAGCAGTGTGATGAAAGTTCACATGCATATCAAGGGTAAAGACAATTCAGTAAAACCTTATAATTATATAAAATAAATAAATAATTAAATAATTATTTAATAAAACCTAATTATAACAGAATAGTTTAAAGAATGCTTAAAAATAGTTGTCATTAAATCTCACTATAATATACCTAACAGTGGGGTGGGAAAATGCATACAGGTATATTAAAGAAACACTTTAAGGCTAAGCCTCCATTCATGATTATAACCATTTTAATTTCCATACTCAAAAAGGCACTAAATGCTGCATCTCAACAATGTTATTTCATCTCCTCTTTTTTTTTTTTTTTATTTCTTTAAACATGCCTACACCTATGGTGTTAACAGTACCTAAAGCTTTGCTACAGTGAATGCATCCATGTCTCCCTAGCAGATGAACAGCAAAAAGCCACTAAGACATACACAGGGTTTCTTTGCAAACATGCAGAAGAGTAACAGCCAAAGAGTATCAGCAGTCTTTGCACACTGAAGTGAAGAAATGCATACATAATACCTTGTTCACAGAACAAGTAGAGAGTATTTTGTAAATATATGTTTTTCAACAAGGTACCTAATAGCAAAGCATACCTTTAAAGGGGCACCATAAGTAAATCCTAACTTCCCTCTAGAGAGGAAAACTCTGTTTTGTGGATGTCAGTTTGTCCATCTTCAAAAAGAGATTTTTCATATTATTGAATGGTCAGTATAGCTCTCAGAAAGCTTAGACAGATGAATTGGAGTCCTTCTTCTGTGGTGGTAGATGGTGTAAAAGCCATGGACTATCTCAGACAAATCCAATGAAACCTTTTAACCTTTACAACATTTCATCCTCAGTTTTCAAAGGCTTTTAGTGCACTGATTTTCAAATTACTTAAACAATGAACAGCATCTGGGAAGGTCAATCTTGACCATCTTCTGGTTGTTCACTATCAGACAAGCCAGCTCCACTCAGCAATTGAGGAAATAAAGAAATAAGCCCAGAAATGTAAGTATTCCGTAGAACTAGTTCACAGTCCTCAGAGAAGAAAACACCAAGTTTACTCACCTTGAACAGAAAAACAGGAATTTTACAATTACTGCCTTTGTCTTCCCAAACAGAAGACAGATTAAATCCTTAAATCCATCAGTCAGATCCTCTTTATCATCCACTTTTTTCCCACAACACAAGCATATAGCAACTCCACTGCCAGAGCTAACACCACTTTGGCCACCAAACCTCACCTATAACAAAATTTCACCAGTCAACAAGGGTGACCTGCTTCACAAACTAGGAAATGGAATTGTTTTGAATCCCAGAAAAACAAAGCTGGTATCAAAGCACTGGTAACAATACAGAAATACTGGAAATCAGTAGAAAAACTACAGAAGTGGCTCACATTACAGATAACATGGAAGAGGTATTGGGAGTTTTCCACTCATGTAACAGGGTCATTACACAGAGGGCTACCACCAATTCCAAAACTGTTTGAACCATTCTGAATATTCTTCATCTTGTCATCAGTTGCTTACAAGAAGCAAAAGCTCCCCATTTAGACCATAAGTTGTCACTTAATTTTTTTCTTAACCAATTATTCTATGATTCTTTTCTAGCAGAACATTGTTGGTTACAAGACACAGAGTGCAGTCTTTGTGCAAGCCTAATATTTGAAAGGTGGTGACCCAGGTTATACAAAATAAGCATGGAAAACCATATTTGTGGCAATCAAAAAATAAGAAATTATAAAACAGGGCAAGGTTTTGCTACAAAATGCCATCTTATTTACTTAAAAGAAACCACAAGCAAACAGGATGCAGGCACCACTAAAATCAATTTTATATGAGCAGGGAATTCAGTTCAGGAGTTGTCTGTGACCAATGTAAGTAGTTAATTAGAGCTGAGGAAATATTTTATACCCAAAAAGCTTCTAGCCATATTTATTCTGACTGTGGAATATGGGAAAAACAGATTGTTGGTTACACATTCATTTTTTTAATGTGAAATTACAAAGATTTGTAAATATTGTGTTTGTACTTTCTGGACCAAGTGATGTGAATATTTCATAGTGTTTACCAAACATTTCTATACACTGAAGAGGGTCATAACACATAGAAGTAGAGCTGGCCAGAAACAGCAGGAGATTAAAAATATTTCCTGAGAAAACAGTAAATAAGAAAACAAGACTTCTGCCAAAAATCCTGCCAGAAGACACATCCAAAAGATACATCACTATTTTCTAAAGTAATAAGGATGCATTTCCCATAACTCAAATAGGTACTATTGGGAAGCTTTGTGAAAATGCACCCATTGTCTGTGTTAAATACAATTTTGATCTACTTAATGCTTCAGCTACTCAAGATAAGGTTTTGCGTGCTACTGACCATGAATTTTAAGGACTAGAGATGTGATGGCAAGTTAATAATGAAGTACTTTCTCTGTGCTCATGAATCAGGTGCACAAAGCTAACAGATACTTTATTTTAGTTTAATATTTTAAGTTGTTATTTAGAAGATTTTTTTCCCATAAATTATAATTACCTAGATTAGGTATCTTCTTTAATCTGAAGATTTCCCAAAAAAAAAAAAAAAAAAAAAAAAGTCAAGACAGAAAATTAGAAAATTCTCTACAAATATTGTAAGAAAGGTACCCTGCTCAAATCAAAAGAAAATTACACATCAGGGTTTGTTTGTTTTGTTTTTTTGGTTTTTGGTGGGGTTTTTTGTGGCTTTTTTTTCTGTTCTACTAAAAATTAAAATAAAAATTAAAATGATTGAAGAAAAGCTTCTTTTAGTAGGGTTAAATATGAATACATTGGTCAAATACTACACAGCTGCTGAAAATTAGTCAAGGATATTAAGTCTCTGCCAAGGACTCAAACATTTTCCTCAACAGAAGGAAAAGAAGTATTTTTCTGGAGAAGACTGAGTAAAACAGAGAAAGTACAGTGTGGGGGAAATCTTCAAATGGCAAAAAGTCTTTTTTCTCAGAATGGAAGTGGCTAGGAATCTTGGGTCTCTTGAGCTAAAGGAGAAAACTACTTTTGTCTTAGTGCCTTGGCTACAGCCTGAACTTCTTAACTTCCTCTTGACAGCCAGGAAGCAGAGTCAAAAAGCCCAGGTCACTTCCCAAGAATGGACTGAAATAAAGAATATTATTCTGAAATAGAAATTTAACCAGCATTTCTGACCCTCTGATATGTTCAGTGGTTGTTTCTTTCAGCTCAACTTGGAGTAAAAAGAAACTTTTGAATTAAAAATTATTCTCGCACAATGTGAACCTCCTTTTAATTTTTGGCCAGCTTTCTTTTGGATATCTTTTTTCCCTGTTGTGTTCAGCAGTGAATTACCCTCTCCAAGACCTACCACATCCATCACAAAAGCTTTGAAATCCAATTCTTGTTACATGCAGCTCAATGAGCATGTGGGTTTACTGCTGACTGCACAAGCACTGGTGTAAGACCTGATTCTTTACATGTCCATTAAAGGCAAATTCAGAGGAATGCCAGTCCAGACACAGCCAATTCTTACTGAAGTGAATGTTTGTGCAGTTTTTCCCTGTATTTGCTCAGCTCTATTTAATGGAACATTCTTGACTGCCTACCACACAGGGGATGACTTGCAGTATGCTTGCTGAACTCGCGGGAACAACTCTGAGCTGAATTAGCTCAGAACAAGTCATGTTTGTTGCTAATCATCCCAAACAGGGAAATTTACTGAAGGACTTGATGGAGGGGAAAGAGGATACAGGTTCATAACCACCATGGATGTATGCTGGGTTTCAGGGATAGAGACAGGGTAGAACAAGCATGCCTTGGTGAAGGAGGACCAAGCAGAGAAGCCAGGCTGGCCCTGCACAGCCAGACAGGCCCTGGACAGCCAGACAGCTTCAGAAACAGACATCAGCATGCAGTTACCTGAGGTTTCTTCACCTTAATGATCCAGGTAGGAGGCACAATGACAGCAGCATGGGCCCCCAGGGAACATGGCTCCTCAATGTGATGTAGCATGAAACAGGTGACTTTATTATGAAACTGGAAGAGAGGGAAAGAGTAGAGTCAAGAAAGAGGACAAGAAAGACAAAGGGGAAGCCTGGAGAAGAAGAAGGTGATGGTACAAAAACTGGAGCACTATTCCCAACTCCACCATCTTCAAGTCCTTCAAGCATGGAGATTCAGGACATGTGTAACTAAAGATTATCTTCCTAAGCCATGCCTTCTCAGGAAAAAAAAAATCAAAATCCACAAACAAAAACAAATCAAGACAAACAAAAGCACCGAACCAAAAAAAAACCCCAAACCACTCCTAGTTAAACCCAGATCACAGTCTCCTGAAGTATTTTCCACTTACCGCTAGCTTGCACCAGGAGCAACTGATGGCCACAATCTCTTTACTATGGAAGGAAAATTTCTGCTGAAAGCCCTAGAATAACCAGGAGGAAAAAACAGGATTAAATTCCTCTTACCTATAAGAAAATATATACCTCTAACTCTAGCCAGGTGAGTGTGCTAGGCAAGCAGATTTTTGGGGGATAAAACAATTACAGGAGGTAACAGAGAAGGTTCTTCCACTGTGATATATTCACACAATCCTTTTAAAAGGATTTATGCTAAATTTTATGCTTTCCCTTAATTTTTTTTTTAGTTTAAAACAATGGGAGAAATAGAGAAGAAATTACTATTTTAGTTTTTCATGGATTTCTACAGACATGAAAGTTTAAGATTTTCTGTTGAACAAAGTATTCTGTCATTGCAGCCTTTTTTGTTCCAAATATAAACAAGAATTTGAATTTCCCTTTTTCTTTACTATAGAGTAGAATCACCATTTTTTACAACAGAACAAAATTAACTACAATGTCTCTCTGGGAATATTCTGACAGGGAAATGAAGTAATTAAGTTTATAGTTTTATTGAACAGACTCAGGTTAAAATCTTTCCAGTAAATTAAAAAAAAAACCCCAGTATGGTCTGATTCAGATCACACAATTAAAATAAAATATTTCTTTGCATTTTTAAGGATAGAAAAGCCCACCCCAACTAAAAGATTTATTCTGCTAAAGAGAAGCTTCTCTATAGAATGCAATATGACTGAGCTGTAAATTCTAAGGCTGGAAAAGACAATTGGGTCATATATATCCTTCTGCATCTAACACAGGCAACAAATAATAGGATATAGTCTGTAATTTTGAGCTGAATTAAATCTTATTTTAGTCACAGAAAAAAATTGATTTGGGTTGATGGCTGGAGAGATGGAAAGTCCACAATTTCAGTGAACAGTTTGTCAGAATTGCCTTTACTACTTAGGTTTCAGATTTTCAGCTAGTTGGATCCTTTACTCATGGCCTTTCATCAATTCTCTCTACCTCTGTAAGTAGCCCATTACCATCCAGAATTTTCTAATTCAATCTCTCTACCAAGTGATGAATTTGCAAGCCAGTTTTGTTTTCAACAAGCTGAGTAATACCTAAATCTCCTACATGCTGGACAATGCCAAAGATCCAATGCAAAAAACGTTCTAAACTGATTTAGTAACATCTAACAGGCCATTGTCTCACTGCTTCTGATTGAAGTCCTTCTTATCCTGCAGGACAAATGAGCCTATTAGTGCTCAGGGAAATGACAAGGTCAAGCACACCAAGAAGAAGAATTATACTGATACTCAGAAGAGGAGGAGTCCACCTGCCTGCCCAGAATGCAGAAGTACATCTTGCAGCTCCACAGACAGGTGTCCCCAGCATGCACTCAAACCAGTTTGCCACATGAGCCTCATCACCGAGACCAACTCTTGAAAAGGATTGTGTCACCTCTGGTTAGATTTTTTGGGGTTTTGTTTCAATACTTCCCCTAAGGCCTCAGGGTTTATATTCAGAGAAATTCAAAGAGTAGATTCTTCATAACGATGGTGATTTGGCATATTCAGGTTTAGCAATGGAGTGTAGTGAAGTGGATTAACAAATACAAACTGGCCAGACACTTCTGGCTAGGTACACCTTGTCTGCCATTCAGTGAGAGCGTAAGAACAAGAGTTACAGCAACTGTGATACAAGTGCTGAAGCAGAGGTCTGACACTGGACAAAACACTATTTCCTCATCTGCTTACTCTAGTGCTTCACAATGTCTCTCACAAATCTCACTCCTCCTTGTTCCAAAGTGCATTAAAATAAAAAATAATTATTTCAGTCCCTCATGGGCACAAAGTGTTTTCGTTTTTTCTGTTTTGCAACATCCGAGAGAAAACTCTTCTCTCCCAAATCTCCACTAATAAAAGTCTAAATTCACTACATTAATTCCACAACCCATCAGCTGTGCATTTTAAACATATGGACTGAGCAGCTTGTCTGGTTCTGGATGGATTGTTTTTCATTTATTTACTAAGTCATTTGGCTTTTAGGGAGTCATTAGAGAAAATGATACAGCAATAAAAACATATTAATGATAAGTAGCAATAAACCACCACTTTCCTTCCTCAAATTGCTTTATAAATGTGAGCTGATTCTTCCTAAGGATACAAGTTTCAGGTAAGATAGCATTTATTTGAAAGCTAGCTTTACAAATAAAATAATTGATAAGATTGATAAAATAAACCATGCACTGTAAGACACAGTGATATTTGACAGGGACTACTGGACTGAAACATAGGAACCCTCCATATTTCACTAGAAATTATATTTTCTGCCTTCTCTGAGAGAGAAAGAACACTGAATTTCAGATGTCTTCAATCATGCAAAGAGGTCTTCTGCACCAAATTAGAAATTTTGAGATAGAAAATGAATTTCACCTTTTTGAGAACATCAGCCTAAGAGTATATGATTAGCACTGATTGTCCAGCAACCAACTCCTCCACAACACATGAAACCCCATGTTGTGAGCTGCTCCTGCAGAAATAATCAGCTGTGCACATCAGAAAAAATGTACTTTTAGGAAATGAGCACCTGAATGTCCACAAAGCCAGCTTGTGTTGATAATTCAACCTGCCTGAATAGCCTGGATTAAAGTACAAATTAACATAGACACCTGTGCAGCAAAAACAGCAGATAGGGATTACTAGTTCTGGATTTTTTATATTCTCAGAAGTATTCATTATTGAAGACTATTTTCACACCAGTGTTAGGGCTACTAATAATATTTTTTGCAAGTATTATCCTACAAAAGATTTTCTCTTTTTAGTGCTCTTAGAGATACCCTAATGCAACACAACTGTAGGAGAGCCAGGTATTATTACAACTCAAATTCAGATTGCAACAGAAGCACTTGGATGGTGATCTCTATTAAAACAACAAAGAACTAGAATGGCCTGTCAAACACTAAAAATTTCAGTTTTAACTTTACATTCAGCTCTGCACCAATCCACAGGCCTTTAAAGGGACCAGTGGCAGAGACTCTGTAGACACACACTGCATCTGTATGGAAGATACCCCACTCTGGACACCACAGAAGATTAAAGAAATAGTGTCTGTTTAGCATTACGGTCCAAAATGTGTTCTCAGTCTCAGAAAACCCCTCAGCCACTGCTAACTGGAAGCATACGAGAAAAAGATTCCTTTTCATTCATCCTTAAGCTTCTATTACTGCATATAGTTATGAAATGGATGCTAGACCACATGGTCTGAGAATTTTTAAGTCATATTGCAGAAAGATTAAAAAATTATCCTGATTTCTCTGATGACCTGACCCCAGGTAACAAACAGCTAACAGCTAAGAAAATGTCTTTTTTTTCCACATCTTCAAGAGAAAGAAAAGAATTATTAAACATCATGAATGGTGTGGATGCCATGGCTTGGGAACACTTAATTGCCATCCCTTCAAATACAATAGCTATGAAGCATTAGGAAAAAACCTAATGTGTGACAGGTTTAAAATAGTCAAATGTAGCTCTTCTCATAGCATGCAGTTAAGTTCAGGAATTTCTTGCTAAAGGATGTTGTAAATGCTACAACTTTACAAGAACTCAAGGTTCAACAAGGCAAGACCACAGGAAAGAGATGAAAGACTGTTAGTTATAAAGGCACAATTTCTGGAAATTCATGAGACAAAGACAGAACTAGATTGCTTGGTTACACTGCACATCCCAGGACCCTTTCCCTGGTACCAATTTCTCTATATATAATACTTCAGCAATAAGTCAGTGAAACCACCCTTGGGAAGAAGAGTAAACAGCTAAAGCCTAGATGAGTTTACATAAGCTGTACTTGCACTAGCAAGTTAAGTGTAACAGGGTAGCACAGGCTCTGTTAGTACTCAAGAGATTACACACAAGTATTTACAGGAAATTTTACTTTGCATTAGTTGCAATCTGGTCCTGTGGACTGAATTCTCACCAGTAACTGCAGAGTGAACTTTCAGTTATGTTTAATCAGAGAGGAATTCAGTTCATTTGTTACAAGAATGTCCCACATGTGAACCATTGTAAGTGATGACAACAAGGAAAACTCAAACTGCACTTCTGATCTAAGGTGGAACATTGACTGACCCCTGTGTTCTCAGTTTTTCAGGAGGTGTCAGCCATTGCACATAATGGCACAATATAAAGCCACAAGGCTATGCTAAGGATATGGAGTGCATTAATTCCTATCTACTTCCTTATGATTTGAAGCAAGAGATGGGTATTTCCTGAAAACTTTCTTTATGTGAACTGTAATTAATGATCATTAAAATACTTAACCATCCCATTCCAGGCATGGGGTAGGACTATTATACAACAAGATCTACCAGAATCCTTCAGCATTCCATGAATAAGACTTTTTTTATTGCTTTAAATTTACTGTCATTCTATTTCAATGATAGTTTCCATTTTCCTGCAAGATAAGATGTAGTGAAATTCATCAATTTGAGTTTTTGAATAATAAAGGTGATTCCTACTTGGAGGTTTTTTAAATGTTATACCACAGCACATGCATTTTGCTGTAATAGGAGTCTCCTTCACCAATAAATACAACTGATTTATTTTTGTTATATTTTTTCTATTTCTTTGTTTCCTGGCAAAGAACAACTCTATTAGAACATACTCATGTTGTTCTCAACCTAATATTTCTTATTTAAGGGGAAAACTGATATTTCTCTGAACTTTTCTATATTCTCTGTTTGATGGTAGGATTTGAAGACTTATATCAATCAAGGCTGCCCATGGGAACATACCCAGCAGAAGTTTTGATAGGATACCTAGTAAGTACTCTCACTGAAAAATCAACTCCAAATGCCTGTAGGAGACACACAGGCCAAGAAGGCAGAGAAGGATGGCAAAGTCATACCCTAAGAATGCTGTGTGTAAACTATCTTGCTGCACTATTCCCATGGTACTTGCTATAAAAGGGCATCACATTTTTATTGCATGTCCTGTTGCAGCTGGTAGCTGACAATCTGCATGAGTATCCAGAAACAAATCTCATTTTCCTCTGACTGAAGTGCTGTGCCATGGAGATGAGACATGGACTTTCTTACTAGTTGTAAAGAGGGAGGCAAAAGTATAATATAGTGCTAAAAAATGAAATTAAATCCCTGTAAATTTAATTTTTAAATATCTCCCAATATATTTCAGAGGCTCATCATATTTCAGAAGAGAGACCTAAAGAGTAGCTAAAGTACTTCTTCCCTCTTTTTATAACTTTTTAGAAATAAACTTTTATAATATATGAAGCAGAGGAAACACAAAGCAGTCTCACAAATCTTAGAATCTGCTGGGGCATAAAGAAAGCAACAGCCTTTCTTTTCCAGGAGCCTAAAAAATAGGCCATCATAATTTTGGCACAGAGGACAGTACTGCAAGAGCATCATATTAGCACAGGGTTAGCTTAGCAATTAAAAAGGCTCAAGGAGTCACAGCTTTCCTCCTCCTCATTTTCAGCAGCCAGTACACCACAACCTCCCAGGACAAATGATGTGCTCATTCCTGCAGATGCAACTGCCTTTCTCTTCCCACATGGGAATCAGGACCTTAATGCTCAACATCTCAGGCTTGTCATTAGCTATTAAAAGAGGCCAAGTGTTTGTGATAGAAAAAAATGCAGTGACTAGAAGGCTACTGGACCTACTGGCTACCCTGAATTCCTAAGTGTCCTGTGTCGTGCTTTTGCTGTGCTGGAAATCTTACCTTTCCACACTGCTTACATTTGCCCTCCTGCCTCCGCCGGTGCACCCAGTGATGCCGCACAAAGTTCTGCAAACAAGGACATAAAAGATGCATTATAAGGAAGCATTGGCACCTTGCACTCAGTGGTACCATCTATGTGAAATTTGTTAACAGAGACCGAAGAAAAAGTCCCTTCAGCCAACAGAGTAATTCCAGGAGCAAAATGTGCAGGAGGCACTGCTGGAAGCCTCAAAAACCACCAAAATGTACGAGGAATAAGGACAAGGTGGTGTTTTCTTTACCCATGTTGAAATGAGGCCAGAACTACTTCCTCAGTCTTCAGAATTTTAAATGTTTGATTTTATGTTTCAGAGGGAACTGAACATACTTCTAGAGGGAAAAAAAAAAAAAGACGAAGAGAGAGCAAGTGAAAGGAGGGCGAAATGGGTTTTTTAAAAGCCAAAAAAGTTCCAAAACTACTAGCTAAAAAAATGCTAAAAAAAATGTAAAAAAAGGAAAAAGTCAGAATAACTGAAAGAATGGACAAAAGACAGCAGAAAGTGAAATAGTTTCTGTCAATGTAAGCAATAGTGCTTCAGCTAGAATTCATTTTACATTTATTCTGGAGAGGGGAACATGTTCCACTGGGAACCAATTCTCTCTCTAAGACTCCTGTCAATCTAACAGCACTACTGCAGCTGCACACCAGGGGGATCAGCACACTTATCAAATGAAAAGTAATCGTCATTTGTCCATTACTTACTTCTCTCGGAGATCTGGAGCCTCCTTCTCGGAAAGTCGGTTTGCAGCGAAAATTAATCTGGCATTGAAATAAAACTGTTAGAACTGAAGGTGAGATGAAAGAAAATTTATTCCGATATTTTTATCTAGGCTTGACTTCCAAAGTATTTATTATCTATTGAAATACTAGCTTCACTAGGTGAAAAAAAGTAACTTCCTATATGTCAGAAAAATCCCTTTTCATATGCCATATTAATCCTCCTTGCTGGACCTCTACACAGCCCCCATCTTCAATAATGCTATTGCTGCCTACTGAGTTCAATGTTGCCTCCTTCTTCTAGAAGGAAAACACTTTATCTGTTTTGTTTTTCTGAAGAACATTTTCAAACAAGTGCACACTTCAGCTTAGGTCTCCAAAGTTAGTAGGTGCTGGAAATTTCACTCTTTTTGCACATCTTATCTTTATGTCTTCATAAACAAAAATCTGAGAAACTGACATCTACATAAAGAACCATGCAAATTCTCATAGATTTCTGCCTTTTCCTTAGATAAAGATGTTTTCATCCACCTCCTCAACCACAAATCATTTGGGGAGCATTTTATTGCCTCAAGCTGTGGTGTTGCACTCCAAAGAGGACAACAGGAGCTCTCATGAATGGAAAACATTTTGAAGAAGGGGAAAAGAAAAAAAAGTATTTAATAAACAAGAAGGCGGTCCTATGAGAAAAAAAAATAAAAGTTGTGAGAAAAGAAAAACAATAGAAACAAGAATAGACAGATGTTGACACTAAAAAAGACACTGAAGAAGTGAGAGGCCTGCAAAAAGTCTAAACTATATGTGAAGCATGGATCCACCAAATGAAATAAATTCAAGTTTGAGCTGACTACCCTTCAAAGAATTAAACATTTTAAATAAGGCACAGCTATGCTTTTGTTACAAAGGTAGCATGACCAAGTTTCTCCAAATTTAAATACAACCCTCTCCAAATAAATAAGTTCTCCCCTCATTTAATACTTTGCCTTCAAAGTAATAGCGCTAAGAGAAAAATAAGAATAAGGAGGAAAATAAAAATAATAATTTTTTTTAAAGGCACAGACAAAAAAAAAGTAAACAAAATACCTAGTATGTATAAAGAAATAAAAAGCATTGTAATATTATTCTTCTTCCATTGCTCTTCACCTGGATTTGAAATTTGTTTCACTCCTCAGTCATGGCAGGCTAGAATGACCCGGTTTATACTTATTTTGCTTAAAATGTGCACCTTTTCAGAGAGGGCCAAGCAGAAGACTTATGTACTAGTTTTAAACTTTATAGACTTTATAACAGCCCTCTGCCAAGAGGTGGATTTCCTGGTCTCCAAAACAGCACAGAGAAGCTGGGTTTTATCTAAGTGCTCATTTTCTCTGGCTGGCAATGCCACCAACTCGCTGGGCTATGGGAAGTCAGCGCTGCTGGTGATGAAGGAAGTCATGAAAAATTCACTGGTAACATTTTGTGCTGAAAGCATGTGCTACTGTTAATTTCACTGTGGATAAAAGCATCGGGGGTGGAAATGGTACCTCTCCAACTTGGTATAATGGCAATCACTGTGGGATTTGTCAACATGAGTCCAAGTACTTGGAAAGGAAAAAGCCCTTTCCTTATAGGGTTGATGCTATAAATTTGTTATTCATCAGCTTCTTTTATGAAGAACAACATTGCTAAACATAAAGGAGTGAAAATGAAGCTCTAATGAAAAAAAATTGGGGAAATTCCCACACATATTTCTTTGCACATATCCCACCAGGAATGAAAAGTGTGGGGAGGAAATTTCTCTAGCACATTTCCAGTTAGGCATAATGAAGACAAGCCTCTGAGGGGAAGACTGAAGTCATTGATAGATATTCTGTACGTGCTTGGATGTGATCAAGGATACTTGAAGAAAATGAGGAGCAGGACAGATGCTCACAGAAGCTCACAGAATGGTAGTATAAAGTAAAGGTTTGATGTTTTCCATTTTACAGACAAAAACTCAAATTCTGAATTTTTTAAGAGAAAACAGTATAATCTAGTAAATACAGGGGGGAAGTTCACACTAGCATCTTATGCTGCACTGCTCATAAGTACAGCTGTCATACAATGAATTATGCTAGCTTTAGTTGGGGAATTGTAAAAGGCCAATTTTGTACGTGACAGGATAGTCCATTTTCTACCTTCAATTTTTAATCTAGAAGCAGAGGAAATTTGTTTTTTAAGCATTAAAAGTGTGAAAACATTCTGTAGTTTTTGTTCTTTGTGTGGTTTTGGATTTTGTTGGTTTGAGGTTTTATTTATGGTTCACAGGGCTTGAAGAAATATACTTTTTAAAAAAAAAGGTGGAATTTAAAGCCAAGTTTTGTTCACAAGTACGTTGTTAAAACAGCTGTGAAAACGTAATTTGGCATAGGCTGAAACCTCACTAGAATTAAAAGTGTGTTGGCCATGTCAGGCTCCAGAAGATGGCAATGTCTCACCTTCTCTAACTGCTCCATGCAGGCGTTGTGGACCACGATCTTGCAGGCAGCACACTTCCTCCGCAGGGCAGACTTCTGCAACAGGAGAGGGACACGCGTGTGTGTGGAGGTGAGCTATTCCCAGGAGGAAAACAAAGTCAGCTGAAAAACAGGAGATGTTTCTCTCCCTATGCAACACTTTTTTTTTTTTTTTTGTCCTCTTCCTTTGGTGCTCTCAGTTGTGTACAAAATAAATTAATAAATAAATTTAAAAGATCTGAAGTTCTTCTGGTTAAAACCTGAACTTAGCGAAAAAAAACAGCCACAGCACTCCAGCTTGTGAAGTAGAAGTAAATGCCTCCCTTTAACTAGGGGATCAGGTTAACACAGCAGAGCATCACTCTAAAACTGAGCATCCTACAAAGATGATGAGCAAAGGGGAGAAAAATTGCATGTGCAAATCAGAGAACCTGGATCAGTTTGCAAGAGGTCATTTCATGCTTATCATAAAATATTTAATTTGATGGGCCTGACCATTGCCTTGCAGAAAAATACTTGGGTCATTTTGCAGAGAATGATAAAATTCTCAGAGAATGCTGTTAAATGCTCATGAAGCACTATAGCAGGGACAAAATTCTTAATTATGCTGGTTAGTTTTATTAATTTCAGTAGGGCTTTTGAAATAATTTTCATTGAATCCCCTGGGCCAAGGCATATCAAAAGCAAGAGAATACATCCAGAAGAGAGAATGTATTTACTTACTTTACTTCCATAAACTCAATTTAATTAACCAGATGGAATTAATTTTCATAGAAATTTAACTTACAGACTTGTGCTTGAGGGACAGAAGATTTATAAACACACAGTAAGTTGAGATTTCTTTGCTTCAGATTTTTTACATTCAATTTATTCATTTAAATCTCTAATAAATTATTTCTTTATAATTTTCAGAATGTTTTAAATACGCTCATGAAAGAAACAGGGAACACAGCTTCAGCTCACATTATGGAATAATTATTATAATTTTATTAATTCTTGCAATTATCTAGATGCACCCTAACTGTACATATTCACATGTACATGGTGCTCTGTTTCACCTGAAGAACCATGGCATTGTATAGCAGACTAGGTTTTCACATGTTTTGTGACTTGATAACTTAAAATAGGTTTTTTTATCACTGTGTTTACCAAGTATGCTTTTTATCTCTGTCAAAACAATATGCAACATACTAATTTCAATGCACTAAATCGTAAGGAAGAATTTGTCGAGTTTTAGAAAGGCAAACTTGTGCTGAGAACACAAGAACCATCACACTGGGTCAGACCAAGGGCCCACTCAGCCAAAAAAATCCTGTGTCCAGCTTTTGCCAGAACTCAGTGCCTCAGGACCAATGTAAGTGCACAGCAAACACACAGTGACAGTGACCCTTCCTTTGAGTGTTACCACACAATCAGCACCTGTTGGGGCTTAGCCTCAGCACTCTGAAGGAGGCATGGGTTTCTCAGGCTTGGCCTTAATGCTCTATACCATAATGTAACCAATTTGCTGGAGAAGTTTCATGAGATGGATATTAAATCTGTGCTATGGAAAGCACTAGTATTTTGGATCACATTGCCCTGAAAACTGGGGGCAGTTTCACTGATGTCAGATTCACTGATTAGTGAAACAAAATGCTTTGATTTGAATTAAATGCTCTGAAGGTGATTGGTGGGGGGGTGCATTGAGGAGGGTGGTAATAAAAGCAGAAAGACAGCATCTTTAAGAGTCACAGATGGTAACCACAAACAACCCAGAGAAGAGGATTTCCCTTTAACCTTTTCAGTCCAAGGGCTAGGAGACTCCATTAGAGCTTTGTTTCAAATCAAGGACATGAACACAGGATCCCCACTCTCTTCCCAGTCTTCCTAAATACCAAAGTTAGAGGGGCTTGGGTATTTTCCTCTCTTTTGATGAAGCAATTTAACTGAAACACTTGGCAAAAAGAGTTCATGAAGTAGACTGGAAGCGCAACAGTCAAAGAACTGATACTCATGGATCTGAAATCAGTCCAAAGAAACATTTCCATAGACAGCAGAAAAGCTTCAATAGAAGAAAGCTAACCTTGACTATTCCTAAACAGGAGAAGGTAAACACTCAAATATGACTGCACTCATTGCTGGTGAGTGCATTCAAGAGTTTGGAAAATTCAGTTCAAACCCTTGCAGTGATTAAAATTGCAGAAATTAGATCATACCTTCCTCTCAGAGGCTGCAACAGGTGATATATTTGCTTATATTTTCATGTAAAATAGACTAGTGTCTTTTAATATTCCTGAAACATCTCAGTAGTCTACCTTTTTTTCCCCTTACCTTGTTAGTAAGGCTGTTCATTCCATACGTTCTCACTGTGTAAATAACCTGGGTCAATCAAAACTGGTTTGGGCTTTTTTCCTGAAGCAATAAAGTCTTTACCAGCAGACTTTTGCCCTTTTTGCTCTCCTTTTGGAACACAGGCAAACAATTCAAGCTCTCAAGCGACTGAGCACTGCATCAGTATGAAGCCAGGCTTGTTACCTCAGAAAGAGAAAAAGAAATCCGAAAATAACTCACTGAGAATTTGACTTGGCAGCTTTCCTCCCCCAGGTAGCAGAGGTCCCCAGAAACATTTGTCTCTAGCCATTAATCTGTTTTGTGAAATTCAGCCATGTGAGTATATAGGGGGAAAAAATCTGATTTTCAACATAAATTTAGAAAATTAAAATAAACTAAAAAAAGACAAACAAAAAACTACTACCACCAAGTCTTGCTTTGGTACTCTACAACACAAAGCCACAGCATATAACAGCATTACCCTGGCTGACCACCCCAGCTTAAAAGATGTTGACCATACAATGATGTGACACCAATCAAAACCAAAGTATTTTTGAATACATTTCAGTTAAACTTTGCTGATGTTCTTCCCACATGCTGCATAGTTTAACAGGGAATTGAGATTTCATAAATATGATATGTACTCAGAAGTTTAAAGAAACAGAAAATACAGAGAGATGAAACAAAACCACAACTAATAAACTTCCAATGGGAGAAACCAAAAATTTGAGAACCAGGCACAGGAGTGAAAAACAACATGCTGACTATAGCTTTAGGATGATGGGATAAACTAGACAAGGGAAAAGGCTTTCTTTGAAATAGCTGGGTCAACACTCTGTTTGTGAATAACACAACAAAACATTACACTGCCAGGAGAGACTTAAACTGTACACATGAAAAAAAACCCACATTCATCTGAGAATGCTCTCAAAAAAAAAAAATCTACCTAGCACACTGACAATTAGGAGTGATCAACAGGCTAACATCTAACATTGTCTCATTTGACCAAATATGCACCTCAATTCTGTGAAAAATCTTGTTCTGGGGAAACTCAATTTTAGCTAAACTATGGGTTTCACTTGCCTGTAATCCTTCTGTGACTAAAAAGCCTAAAAGTCTACTGTACACTACTAGAGCAAAGTGAATAAATAGGAATTCTGTTCAGCCAGAATTAGAGCACGATAGAAAATGCTTTGACAGTCTGACATTTGGTTCCCACACTGCAGAAGTCACAAACGATGACGCTCACCAAGCAGATGGCGTCCGACAGCAGGATGCTCCGAAATAGCCATCTTGGATAAAATAACTTATTTAAAATACCACTGTCAGTTTCAAAGTGATGAAATGAGATAGCTTCTCTTGCCATGCTGATTTCTTAGGTAATGAAGAAAAGCAGAAATAGGAAAATCCTTTGCTTTCTGGAGCACATCCACAACAGCCAGGACCTATGCAAGGCTGCACATGGTGCCTACCACAACCATGGTGCTCACTTCCAGTAAAACAAAAAGATAAGATCAGCACTGGCTATTTTCTGGTGAAAGGTCTTTTACTTCATCAGAAATGCTCAACAGAGCACAGCAGAGCACAACAGTTTAGGTGAGAATTTTCAACACTTTTATACTGCCAAATAATTTCTAAGAACTTGCGCTAGCTGAAGAAATTCTTCAGGACTTTTTTAGAGGGTACATTATTCAGATTGTAAACTGTGTCTCTCATGTGTGTCCTTCTATTGCAGCTATTTTCCCTTCAGCAGCAGGATACAAACTCACCTAAGACTGCCTGACCTGAGCAGGTTCTCTGCTGATAAAATAGTGCAAACAACAGCATAACTCAGAGGTAAATCTCATAGGATGTAAAAGGTTCTTAGGAAAGACCAACTCTGAAGGCTAAGTAAGAAAGCGCATGGCTCCTGGGACAGAATTTTTAACAAGGAATAAAAATTATATTAAAAAATAGATTAACCACCCCTTCATTTGGTCCAGGTCCATATAACTTGTCATCAGGATTTCTAAAGATAAAGTGACCTATTTCCATAACCTGGTTTAGACTGTTTGTTCTCTATTGTTCCAGATTGTATCAGACACATACATATCTAACTTTACTTCACCGTGTAAATAAAATTAGTTAGTCTACAAGGATGACCTTGTAGTTCATGTTATTATAGAGTTCTAACACAACTAGATAATAAAAATGTAAATAACCTGATCTGGTATGGCACACCTCCAGGCACCTACTGCCACAGAGAATTCCACAGCACTGTGTGTGAAAACTCACAATTTCAATTCCAGAAAACTGACTCCCAGAAAATCTTTCATCCTGAATCAGAGCAAAGAGCTGACACTGCCCAAGATGAAATGCCCTCCCTCAAAAATCTTTCCTTGTCAGTTAATTTGTCTCGATAAGATCAAAGGGAATTATCTGAACTTCACCATTTCAATTTTATAGGGGTCTGTCATTTATATCATGAGACATTCTCTTGCCACTTATGCAAATCAAGATGATATTGTCAAAGGAAGTCCTGTGACCCTCAGTAAGCCAAATTTTTAATTCACTTCTGACAGAAAATTTTGACAAAAATCAATACATTTCTATGAAGAATTTTGACTTCAGCAAAACAGTATTTTCTTCTCCAAAATTTACAGGCAATATTCCACAACATGCTGTGTCGCCCTGAAAATCAAGCTTTCTGACATTGTTTTCATAGCTTCTAAACACTTTCCCAGGAAAGTAACTATAAACATAGATGTTTATATATTCCATTAAAGATATGTCTTTTGATAGACGTTTCTCACAACCAGTGTGGTTGGGAATGTGGTGACCTGACTACCCAATCCCTGGTCATTGTCAAGACTCTATAAATACTGAAACGACAGAATAAAGTTTCCTCTTCCTCTACCACACATCAAGCAGTGTCTGTGTAAATCATTTCATGTCCAACAGTGACAATACTATACAAAAGGACACTCCTCTCCACCTACCAACACAGAAGCCGATAGAGGTCCCTGGAATAAGCTCCTATCACCTCTAGGATGACATCCTGTTTAACACAATGCTAAACCACAGTAAAGGTCCTGTCATCACTTGTACATTTTGACACAGACCTTTATTTTTTCCATAAGAAGTTTGCCAGTTTGGTTTATTTTGTACTTGATGTCTTTACATTGGATTTAGGATTTAATGGCTTTTAAAGAAGCAGTTGTTCTCTTTCTGTCCCTGAAGACACAGATGCCAGTCTCATGCTCTTGCCATTTTCCTCGTGTTGAATCTGTAAAGCTACACATAAAATCAGTTCAGCTAATGGAAAACAATAGATATCTTATCTACCAAATCAGCTAAACAAAATGACTCACCCTATGACCACGTAACTGTTGGATTTGACACAGATAGTGGTGGGTTAAAGATGGCTTCAGTGGGACTGATGCTTTTGGGGCCAGCTCAGTGTCAGGGCACCTCAGCTGACCCGTCAAATCACGCTTTTGGGCTGACACGCTTTGCTCTGACTTGTGATGTGGAAAATGGATACTGTCCATCACTGTGGATAAAACAGCAGTGACTGTGGCCTAATAAAGAAAACTGTGAACTCTCTCTCCTCTCCAGCTTCCCAGCCTTCACAAGAGTGTAAACTCAGTGTCCTGGGAAGAAAAAGAGCCCCTGCTCAGTGAAGCAGAGACAGCAGTGGCTGGCAGCCGGGCTCACAGGGGACACACCATCCCAGTATGCTCCCCCAGATGGAGACCTCCCATTTGATTGCTCCTGATCCATTACCACCTTAATACCAAACAAAAATAATTTCAGTATAGCAAACATTTCTTGCATACAGAACAAATACCACACACAATCCCCCCTGAAGTGGAAGAGAAATAAGAATTCAAGGACCAGGAGTTTGGGAACCATGTAATTACAGATGTGTTCATGACTTGCTGTGCACTTTTCAACTACGTATCTTCAAGCACTCCAACATAGTAAATGACAGAGCAAGAGTTACCATTTTTTCTAACACCCACTACTATCTCCATATCTCACTGTTCTTCAGGCTGCAGTCAGCATGGTTTCAAAAGCAATGAAGATAAACCTGACTGTTTTAAATTGCCATGTCAAGCAGCTGCTCTTATTCAGCCATACAAATAAACCAGTCAGCCCAAACGTCTAGTTCAAAAGAGTTGTTAACTCCAATTGTAACATGAGGAATGGAACCCCCTTGTCATGACTGACATTCTGCAAAAAGTTATTTAAGAAAAATCTCTAAAACAAGTCAGTAAGATAATTTTCCCTTTGTTAACACTCCAGCAAGAGAGAATAATCTTCTTGCAAATATGCATTTGGGTGATACTTACAATAAGTGCAAAATTAATGGTCATCAATCTGAACTTAATTAAATGTATTTGTAAGCAAAAATTGTTACTTTTGGCCCTCTTCTTTATGAGATGACTATTGAGCAGAAAGAAATTTGTTTAGATGTATCTTTACCAAATATCTTTCTGTCATGTTTGGATTATCTTTCACCCTTAACTCTGAAATTTCAGTTTGCAATAGTCATGTTACAAACAGAACCGATGCCTCAAATATTTTTCTGTTGATATATATTCTCAACATTAACTCCATTTTAGCACATTTTAATTTGGGAATATTTTTCATATAGAGGTCACCTATTCTTTAATTATTGCAAATGCAATACACAGACATAGAACAAAATAAGACAGCATAGGGATATGTTTCTCCTTTCCCCCACCATGCTTTCCAACATCTGCATCAATGGCCTTTTGAGATCCCCATAGTCCTCAGCTGAGAGATCACCTGTATACAGAAGCAGAATAACAACATTTGTCTTCATGAAGCAGCAATGTTCAGATGCTATCAGCTGAGATGATGATTCCCTATGTTCTCATGAACCAGTGCTTTGGCTGATAGCAGTTGCACTTCAGCAACATGAAAAAATACATGTTTTCTAGATGGGCACCTTCTGCAAAATCACTGTGTTCTCCACACTACTGGAAGAATACAAAGATATGGCCACCATTTTGAAATATGACAGACATCCTTTCTCTTTAGATCTCTCTGGAAAGAATATCTGATCTCAAACCTTCATGAAAAAGAAGCAGCAAAACAGAACTACTGATCCACAACACAGCACTCCAAGTGTCCACTGTTCACAACATTTCAGCAATTTTTAAATATGCACAAGGCTTGCACTCATTACTACTTTATTTGAGATAGAATTCCTATCATCTCTTCATGTTTTTATGTGACTAATGGAATACTCCGGGATTCTCCTTTTGTCATGAGAGCATATAAAAATATACATCTCTTT